CATGGTCCTTCCTTTCAGTAGAACACCAGGTGTATGGAAAGGAGACAACCTCTGAAAGACACAGAGGGCACGCTAGGGAGTCAGACACTCAAGATGAATAAATACTTTTATTCAGTTCATTCCCTCCAGGCTTAGCCACAACCGCCACATCTTTACCCTAGCAAAATAAGTCATATAGCACATGGGACAGAAAGCAGCAGTGTCCACCACGTGCTCACAGCACAGAGTGCTGCACTATCACTGGCTGGAAAGCTATGGCATACAACGCTCTTCAATCCAGGAGCTCAAGTCACCAGGTGAAACAGGCTGTTAGGTAGTTTAACCCTGAGCAGCATATGGGTTCTTCCCTGCAGCCCCAAGATCCCCTGAACAGTAAGCTGTAAACGCCTGTTGTAAAGTCTTCTCTCCAGCCACAGAAAACTATGCAGGAGCCAGTGTCCCTACTATGTGAACTGTGCTCAGTTGCACACGGGGGGCTCATAACATGGTTCAGAGGATAAAGGCACTTTCTACCACGTGACTGAGTTCAATCCCTGGAACCCACATGGTAGAAGGAGACAGCCAACTCCCATAAGTTGTCCTTTGATCTCCACATCCACACCACAGCTTACACGGGAGTGCATGCACACATAAACATACACATCACACGCAATGAATGAATGAATGAATGAATGAATGAATGAATGAACAAATAAAATGTAAATAAAAGACTGCACATGGAGGAAGCTTCCACCCAATGAGACACAGGCCACAAAATTAAGGCATTTTGGAGGGAAATCTGAGGTCAACAAAACATTTATTATAACAATGTATCAAAAATGTCATTGCACTTTTGAAAGCTCTTAACTAGGCACAAGGGCAAAGCAATCTGTCCTGGCCACTGCAAGCAAGCACACACTCGTCCCCAAATAGGGAAGAGAGGATTGTAGTGAGCATGTCTCCAGCACAAGCACACTGGCCCAAAGCATGATCCACTACACACGCCCAACACTAGCAGAAGCAGTGGAAGCTGTGCAGGCCCTGCAGGGGAGAGGAGGGCTGGCTAGGCGTCAGAAGCAGTCACACTGCACATACAAGACAGCTATGTTCATCAGCGCCAATCTCAAGCCAGACTTACAAGCATTCTTCCACGACTTGGTTCATCTATGAAACAAAGAGGCTGAAGACACAGCTCAGTGGTAGAGTGCTTGCCTCACATGCACGAGATGGGGGTTCAATCCCCAGGACTGAAAAGAGCTCCGTGAATTCCTGACACCAAGTATCAGACACGTGTTAGGCTCCAGAAGTCCCCCTGTATCCTCCTCACTTCGTCGTCCTTTGTCAGGCTAGAGTGGATAGCAAACACTCCACAAATCACTGTCTACTTCAAAACCTGTATGTTCCCAACTGTGGGGCTTTCTTGAACGACCATAAATCCCTAACCAGTTATGCACATGTACCTACTACTATATTGCACGCCAGGGGAGTATGGGAAGGAGAGTTGTGAGGTGAACATAAGAAAGGACAGGAAAGGAGCTCCCAAGGCAAGAGGCACTTCCAGGAATCATTCTGAGCTGATGGAAAGTCCTTAGACCCCTGCAGGGCAGGGCAGGGGTCAGCGCCTAGAGGGCAGGTAGTGAGGAGACAAAAGTACCAGCAGACTGGTGCCATCGCTAGCATCCTTGGTGCCACTGGTGCCCATGGCCCGAGAGGGGGACAAGCGATCCTCACCAAAAAGGTAATAGTGACTTCCCATGGACGGTCTCGTGAATTTGGGGTGGTAGAGGTCCATCAAAAGCATGTTTAGACCACACCAAGAGATCCTAGAGATAAGCTGGAGAGATGTCTCAGCGGTTAAGAGCACTGGCTATTCTTCCAGAGGTCGTGAGTTCAACTCCCAGCAACCATATGGAGGCTCACAACCATCTGCAATGAGATCTGGTGCCCTCTTCTGGCCTGCAGGGATACACGCAGTCAGAAAACTGTGCATAATAAATACATCTTTAAAAAAAAAAAAAAAGGTCCAGGAGATCCTAGAGATTACTCTTAGGCCCCAAGCAATGGGAAAGCTGCCATGCCTTTCACCACCATGCAGGCTATGTAAGATCCAAAATTTTCTCATTCGTTTGTAACATCCACTATAGCCGGACTGTGCCAGGATTTCAGCAACAAGCAAATTTGAAGAGAAAAAAAAAAAGAAAAAGAAAAAAAATCTGGGGAATGCAATGAAGAAGACATCCTGTACCATCACTTTCAAGCAGACATTCTATTATTGGTCAGCAAGGACATGAGAGCAGAATAAAAGACAATCCAGTCAGCTGAGGACATTTGATTTCCTCAAGTATTGCACGCTGTCCTTAACCTTCGCACCTGCACAGCTCTCTGTGAATGCAGCACTGTGGACCGCAGGGATCCCACTGCCACGAGAGCACAGGTCGGTCAGTAAGTGCACTTCCACTAAGTAGTAGTTCCCACATGACAGAGACCTCTTGCCTGTGTCAACTCTTATAGGACCTAGCCAGAGTCCACAGAAAGGCACAGCAGGAGAGTCCTCCAGGAACCCTCTGACACAGATCAGGGCAAGTCAAGGCAGGTAAGAGCGTGTTTTCCTCTGCTTCAGACCCAAACACAGTACTTTTTCTTTCAGGAAATTTTCATTTAAAAAAAAAAAATCATTGGACCTGGAGAGATGGCTCAGAGGTTAAGAGCACTGGCTGTTCTTCCACAGGTCCTGAGTTCAATTCCCTGCAACCACAAGGTGACTCACACCATCTGTAATGAGATCTGATGCCCTCTTCTAGCCTGCAGGCAGACATGCAAGCAGAACATTGCATGCATAATAAATAAATAAAAAGAAAAACGTGTTTCAAAAAAAACGTGTTTCATGCATGTAAGGTGGTGGTGGTACATGCCTTTAGTCTCAGCACGTGGGAGGCAGAGGCAGGTGGATCTCAGTGAGTTCAAGGCCAGCCGAGTCTACAAAGCAAGTTCCAGGACAGCCAGGGCTGTTACACAGAAAAATCCTATCTCGGAAAAACAAACAAACAAACAACAACAACAAAAAAAAAAAACATGCAGGAAAGAGCAGAGGGAAAACTTTGAAAACTGATGGTCCTTAAGACTGACAACAGAAATGGTCAACATTTGAAAACTGCTAATTACCTACTTAACAAGTATTTTTGCCTGAATCTACCTAATGTCAAAATAAAACAAGAATCTCCACCTTAAGAAGAGCATAAACAAATAAATAGATAAATAAATAAATAAATAAATACAGTGTATGTATTTGCCTATACAGTGATAAGCAAAACAAATAAAATAGCTACAAAACTATAACATTGGTAAGTTTCCAGAAATAGGTCTAAAAGCACACTGCAAAGACAAATTCTAAGGCCTCAGCACTGGCTAAACTCCAGTCTGTCTGACCAAGATCAAGTGGCCGCCCCAGGAATAGCAACAATCATACCGATGGCCCTTGAATGAGCAGGGATAGCTTCAGGCTCCTTCCCTCTGAGTCACTAGAGCCGGCTCAGCCAGAAGGCAGCAGTTTCATCAGGCCTACCACATTTCCATGCTAGGGAGGACACAGAGCTCAGAAGTCTGCTGAGTAAAGCGGCAGTCCTCATCAATTTCCCATGGTGCCTCCCATGAACCCGGCGTGCTCACGGCGATAGTGCTGCTCTTTCCTACTGCAACAAAATGCAGTACTTTCACGGTGCTACTGGAAACAAGGAGGGCCAGCCAGCTTAAGTCATCACCAATGCCATTTCACACTCAGGTCTGGAACAAGCAGCAAAACTTCACAATGCCGAGACTCCGGAAAACCTAGCACAGAGGAGCCTACTCATGTCCCAGTGAAGAGCTCTAGCCTGGGCCCCTAAAACACAGCTGGGGAAGGCTGGAGAGGAACAGGCTCTGGTCCAGTTCATTCCCTCCCCAGACAGAGAAGTCACTGGCAGGGCTAGGCAAGGCTCACTAGAAATCCATGTAGTGCATTTTGGCCAACTTGGTGACGCAGGCCATCATTGCCTGTCTGGTCAGCTAAACCACACAAGGGTCCAACAGTAAAGTATCGTTACAGGTTAGATTTCTTTTATGGCCAAAACTCTATAAACAGCATTAATGTCTGCTTCTCCCTAAACATTCTCAAATCTACAATCACCACAGATCCATACAATAGTCCTAAGTGGCTTCAAAGTGACAAAATTTGATTTCACCAAAACAGGAACATCCTGAGGATGCTCAAGGCTATCTATGCATAGTTCCTGACCCACCTGCCCATGACCCTCACGCCTGCACTGAGCTCATCTCTCTCACTCGCCAACCCTGGGCAGGACGGGGAAAGATCTCTAGGAGCGCCCACAAAGGCACTGGACCAGAAAGAGGGAGAAAGAGCCTGGTAGGCACCTATAGACCAGAGCTACCCAGGTGGCCGATACAGTTCCCACTTTCTATATGGGAGGGTCTGTGTGGAGGGAGCACCCCAGTGTCATCTTATCCTGTGATGACTGGCAGTGAGTGCTATTGGGATTGTCCCTGGTCTGAATGTAGGCAGTCACCTCCTGGCTAGTTCCAGGTGGGCCTTCTAAAGGTAATCACTGTCTGAAGATCCCCAAAGTGAGACAGCCATCAGAAAACCCCTGCCATGCCGGGCATTGGTGGCACACACCTTTAATCCCAGCACTTGGGAGGCAGAGGCAGGCGGATCTCTGTGAGTTCGAGGCCAGCCTGGTCTACAGAGTAAGTGCCAGGATAGGTTCCAAAGCTACACAGAGAAACCCTGTCTCGAAAAAAACCAAAAAAAAAAAAAAAAAAAAAAAAAACCCCTGCCAGGACAGGTACTGCACTGTGGACACTGTGCTGGGACCTCATGAACTAAGATAGCAGGCAGTGTATGCAGCCAAGAAACCATGTTGGAATGAAGACACTCCCAAGAGAGAGGCTGCAGCAGCAAGAAGGGATGCAAATCTGACGGCACATACAGACAAACCCAGGCAAGAAAACAGACTAGCAAGTGCGTGTACTGTGTTTCTGTTCGCTACATATTTTCTTACCAAAACTCTCTTCTTGTTTGGATATCAAGCCTTAAAAAAGAACAATTAAATTGCAAAGTAAACATAAATAGAAGCATAGCTATGGAAAATACACGCTTACCCTCTAGGGCTATTACAAGGCTTGCAGGTTCAACCCATACCGCACATTTATAGCCCATTTCATTAATATATAACAGTAAAAATCCAAAACAGAGATACTGAAGAACAAAATTAAGTTTGTATGCGCCTCTCAGTTGACAATGACTCAAGGAGTGTTCGATGGCCCGAGCACCTGAGATGGAATCATAATCCAAGAGAACATGGCCGTTTCTTCTTCACTGACAGCCAGGGAACAAGTTGGCAGCACAGGACGTGGTTCAGAGGATGCAAGAGTCTGTGTCAACTTTCACTGCAGATGATCGGCCTCCTCACTGCAGTCAGCACTGCATCTGAATTCTACTCATAAAGCAGAAACTTCTTTATGGGGTCTGGCAGCGGCAGCGAGGGAACCAGATGTAGTCGGTATTTGCCAAGAGCTCTTCTCACAGCCACACGGCACAAACTCAGCAAGGTCCTGGGAATACCTGGAGAGTGTGAAGGGAAAAGTTTATTCTATTCTAGTTCTAAAGGCCCAGAGCTGACTATAGTGGACACAACTGCACTAACATAACTACTTCCTACTCTCAGAGACAAGAAGGCCCTGGAGGCGAGGAAGGCCTTGCTATCTGCTTCCATCTAACCAGTCATGTGCTCATCTGATGCCAGAGCCTCCTTCTGCAATCCTCAGGGCCCTAGAAAAGGCGGCTCCCACAGATGAGAGCAAATGACCCTCACTCTTGTTGTCCCAACAGGTGCAAGGAGGCCTGGGGACACCAAGTTTGCAGTATTTGAATTCAGAGAATAGGATGACAGTCCGGCTCTAGATCAAAAAGGACACAGCCAAACCCCTGCTTCAGGAGATGATGACAAGAGAAAGGTTCATTCTATCAGCCTGCTTCCCAGCAGGCCATCAGCCAACAACTGGGAGGAAGGCTAAACAAGAACATGCTTCCATGAACTGGCATGACACACTGGTGCTATTTGAGAAATAAGAGGCTGAGGATAAGACTATTAATTCAGATGTCCTCTGACAAGATGGCAGGAGTGAAGGGAGGAGAGACAGCAGGCAGGAAATAAGACGGCCACACAGGCGAGCTTCTAATTTCGAGAGAGCCTGACAGCAAACCCGAGCACAGGTAACGTTCAAACTCTCTTGCCACTGACTTACTAACTCCTTGGCAAAATGTTCCTACACAAACAAGCGAACTCCAGATTTCCTTTTAACAAAAACTGGATGTATCACACAACTCAGTCTAAGGGTACCTGAGTGGAACTAAAAAAGGAGAGGAACTCTAGAAAATGAGCTTATATCTCTGTCCACTAAAACACATATGAAGAGAAAGTCAGGGGTAAGAAGAGCAGAGAAGGCAAAAATGAGTAAGAATAAAACATAATGACCCATGAATGAAAACACCATGGGCCGGGCCAACAAGATGGCTCAGAGAATGCTACTTCTACACAATCACCTGAGTTCAACCCATGGGACCCATGTGGCAGAAAGAAAGAACTGACTCCTTTAAGTTGTCCTCTGATTTCTACTCATGCTATGGCATATGCATATTTCCCACACACATATACTATATTAAAATACTTAAAGAAAAAGACATGATGAAACCCATCACTTGGTACAATGATCTAAGAAACAAGAAATAAAAAAGAAAACAATGTGAAAAAGAAACCATTAACTAACAATGAGGTCAAAAAGCAGAGCAAAAAGTAGAGAATACAATTCTGAGAACTTTGAAAGCATACATCTACTTTTTCAGACTTTTGGCATCAGCTTTAGGTGTTTAGGAATGGCAAAATAACCACTGGGGCTGAGGAGAGAGTTTAATTGGTAAAGATCTTGCCATGAAAACACAAGACTCATCCTCCCAAAGAAACCAAGAGCAGTGGCACACAGTGTTATCCCAGCACTAGGAAGGGAGAGGAGAGCAGATCCCAGCTGTTCTACGAGCCTGTCTCTAAAATAAGGGTGAACAGTACCTGAGGTTGCCCTCTGACCGTCCCCCCCACACACACACACTCTCTCTCTCTCTCTCTCTCTCTCTCTCTCTCTCTCTCTCTCTCTCTCTCTCTCTCTCTCTCTCTCTCTCTCTCTCTCTGAGGGCTTTAATCAGTGCTTAGCTAGAATTTTTCTGGGGAGTGTTTTATTATTTAAGATTTACTTATTCATTTTCATATGACCAGGTGTTTTGCATACAAGTATGTCTGGACATGTCTGGATACCACATGCATGCAGTGCCTGCAGAAGCCAGAGGAAGGCCTCCTAGAACTGGAGTTATAGACAGTTGTGAGCCTCTAAGAATCAGGTCCTCTGAAAGAGCAGTCAGTGCTCTTAACAGCTGAGCCATTTCTCCAGGTCCTGTTTTAATTACTATTACATCTCACTTGTTCAATCAACCCCAGATCACAAGACAGTGCTGAGTTCAGGTAACTTACTTCTGGCCTCTTTAAAGACCTGCAAGGCCTCAGGGTCCATCTTCCTTCTGCCTCTTGCCTCTGGGCCCAGTGATTCCCACTTCACCAGATTCAGGTTGGCTCCAAACTCTACCAGCAGGCTCACAAAGGCTGCCTCACAACCATGGCGCAGGACAGCATCCATGACACACCCAGGGGAGCCCCTGTAGAATTCCTGTGTATTGACAGGGCCATTGCAATTGAAGTCAGGATTTGCCCCAGCCTGCAGGAGGAGCCGGAAGCACTGAAGGTTATGGTAGGCAGCACTGATGTATAAAGGACAGACCACCAAGGAGGTAAGCCGCCTTGAGAAAGGGGGCCTGGTGTCAGGAGTCAAGTGATGATTGACATCTACGTCCGCCCCATACCTACAGGAAGAGAAAAACAAGTTATAATAAGTCAAGCAGACCACAAAGACTGTCCAGCACCCCGAAGAAGGCATTGAACAGTCACACAGGGAGCCTCTGAAGACTCCACTGGTCACAAACACAGCCAGGCCTCTCATCTGCAGGTACCATATCTAAAGACTCAACTAACTGCCCATCAAAAATAGGAAAAAACTCAGGCTATAATGCACATGCACAGTCACTTTCCTGTCTTAATGGGGAAGGGTGGTCTTGAACTTTTTAATACTTTCTTCCTCAGGATAATTGGAAATTCATATGGGAAAAGATAAAGTTAAGTTCATTCATCACAGTGCACACCAAGATTAATTCCAAATAGATAAGAATTACAAATAAACTATAAAACAATACGGAAACTAGGAAAGTTTATTTGGGTCAAATTTATCACTTGGGGCTGGTAAGATGGTTCAGTGGGTAAAGTCCCTTGTTGTCAAGACTGATGGCCTGAGTTCAATCCCTGGTACCCACACTCTGGGGAGAACCAACTTCTTCGAGTTGTCCTCCGACCTCCACACCCATGCCATGAAGCACCCACCCACACACACACACACACACACACACACACACACACACACACACACACACACACACACACAATAAAAAAATTTTGTTGAATTTTAAAGTACCCTAAGATTCTACTCCCGGTGTTTACTGGCTATGCTTTAATAGGAACAGAACTATCACTCCCTGCTAAGACAACTGAAATGGAGCAGTCCCTGTGGAGAGAAATTTGGCAATTCTATCAAAACTACAGATGCACTAACCCTTGAACCCACCCATCACACTTCTTGGGATTTGTTCCCAAGGCACATTTACAAAACTAAGATGTGTGCACAAGACAATTCATTAAAGCACTGTTCCTAACAGCTGAGCCAGGAAACCACCAACAGGACTGTCTGGCTTATCCCTAAGAGGCAGAACTGAGAAGCTATGAAGGGAAGGAGGAATATTGTTCTATACTGTTCTGGAATGTCCTCTAGAGCACATGAATGTGTAAGAAAGGTGAGACAGGAACGAGTGCAGTACATACTTATTTTACAGGTCTGCCATGTAAAAAATAGAATATTCAGTCATACACATGCATTTACTCATTTGTAATATTAAAGAACAAATTATAGACCTAAATGCTTACCTAGAGGGGTAAGGGAGACCAGGACAATGAGGCAAGGCTAAACGCTAGACCTTTCTCAATACCCCTTGTTGTGTAGATTACAGTTGGAACCATGTAAACACTTTACACAGTGAAGCAACCATTAAAAAAGGAGAGTAAAAAGGAACCAACAAACACAAGTACATCCATAGTTGGTCAGCCATGCTATGCTCCCTAACATGACGGAGTGTTCTTTTCAGACAGTCTACACATTCAGCCTCACAGGGTTAGCAGGGATACTCTCAGCATCAGATTCAATTGCAAGGACTTAGGGATTCACAGCAGGAACATGGCTTCACAGCAGGGCAGCATCATGCAGCCCTGTCCAGGAGGCAGATGCACAGCAGTCAGAAAGTGACTCCCAGAGTTGACCATTTCCTGACTCCCAAGGACAGTCCAGATATTAGGACTATCTCTCACCAGGTGCTGGTGCTGAAGTACCCACAGCCAATCTTTTTTGTTGCCCTTGGTGTGCTCCACAGACACCCAAATATATTGCAATTTGAGCTGTCTGAGGTCAAGTGCAAACTACTTATCTCTTTTACTCTAACCAAGAGTCAGTCAGTTACAACAGGGGGCAGAGTCCTGACAAAGCACGCACGGGACCTTCTAAGGACAGGGGCTTGGCATAAGGCAATGGAGCCCAAATGGGACAAGGGGGAGTGAGGAGGGGCAGGAAGAGATGCAGATTAGCTCCAGTCAGTGAATAATGGGAACAGAAAGGAATATGGACACACACCCTGGGCTCCAAGGATGCAGCCTGACAGTACAGTTTTGCTTTCTTTTCTTATTGAGACCGGGTCCCCCTATGTTGCGCAGACTGGGAGCAATCATTCAAATAGCTAGGTTACAGGCATGTGCCACTCTGTTCAGTTTAGATCTTTGTTTCTGCACAGCATTCTTCACTGAAAGAAGACTGGACTCTGGGAGGACTTACTCCAGGACCGACTCACAATGAGCTTAGACTATCCTGTTATGTCAGAAAGTAAGGAACTGCTCACAAAACAGTAAGGACATGTCAAAAGGACACAAAGCTGGCTTAAACCACCAGTAACATTAATGCGATCCTCAAAGTAAGTAACTTTGATGGACTGTAACTTCACCTGGACAACATAAGAAACCGTATCTCCTCAGACACCGGCCACCTGTACACTTAAGCCCTCTCTGGCCCTAGACAGTTCTGTGATGTCTCACAAACTGTGTCGTCAGTATTTATTTCACTTGCAACAGGAAATGACAACACATAGGAATGATGAGGGGACACAACATGGGGGACCTAATATCCAGGTTCCAGAGAAGATGAAATAATGCCATTTCCCTGCCCAGACGACAGATGGCCAACAGTCTTAGCCAGCAGTCCTGTTTCACAATCTGTCTCCATCCAGCACTTCGGGTATTTAAAGGAACTGGAATCAAAAGTGCTTCTTTGAGGCAGCATAGGCCTGAGGACACACAAGGCCAATATCCTTTATGGGCACCTTTCCTCTACAAATAAAACCTGAGGCTTTCTAGGAGAGAGAGGTGAATACAAGCAGAAAACTGTTCCACTTCACTTTTCAACTAACAAAAGGAAACTGACATCTCACTTAGTAATCATTTCCTCCTTCCTCAATGGAGACATGTCTTCCAAATTGTTGATAATCTTTGTGTGACAGTGTGACAATCTGGTAGCAACTGAGCTATAGGAAAGACAGCCTTTGAAACTCATAAAAATATACTGAATAGGATCCAGTTAATTTTAATACTGAATATTTTCTAAATTTCTTTATTGCTTTTATTATCTCTACACACCCAAACAGCTGAACAAATCAATGTAACTTTGAACACACAGAAACATCATTTCTTACCTTCTATCCTAAAATATCAGCAATGCAGAGCAAGGCGGCTTACAAACAATCAGGGGAAGTTCCTTACAGAGGGCCAGAAAATTGCAATAATGAAAGATGAGAGACAGCCTACAGGAAAAATGACACAGGCAAGCAGGCAGGCAGGTTTGGGTTTTATTTAGATGACATTAGCCATTTAGTAATTTAACAGTACCATTTTCATTTTCCTGCTTTATTGTTTTTGGCTATTTGTTTGCTTGCTTGTTTTTAGACAAAGTCTTACTATGTACCTATGCTACGTAGACCAGGCTGGCCTCAAACTCATAGAGCTCTATCTGCCTCTACCTCACCAGGGCTGGGATTAAGTGTGCATCATTACATCCAGCAAACCCCCATTTTCTAAAAGTAAATCACCATACTTTAGAATATAGAAGGATTTTAAATAATATAATATATGCTAATGTGCTTTCTTGTCAGAGTAGTGCCCTATGCTCCACAGAGGAAACAGAATGTATAGTCTGAAATGGCCACAGGGATTTCTGAACTAAAACAGAATTTCATCAACTGATCAAAAACATTTCCACAGGCACAAATGAATGGCTCAGCAGGTGAAGGATCTTGCTGCCAAGCTTGATGACTTGAGTTCCATCTCGAGAATTCATAGAGTAAGAGAAAACCAACTCCCACAAGTTATGTCCCGATCCCCACAGGCATACTGTGTAGTAAACATAAGCATGTGTATATACACACAAACACACAAATATAAAAAATACAAAAACACAGCCAGGCAGTAGTGGGCACACACCTTTAATCCCTGCACTCAGGAGGCAGATCTTGGTGAGTTTAAGGCCAACCTGGTCTACAGAGCAATTTCCAAGACAGTTAGGGCTGTTACACAGAAAAATCCTGTCTTAAAAAAAACATTTCCACATTAATGCCTTAAATTCTCTAAGATGAAAAAGCATAAATTTGGGCTGGAGAGATGGCTCAGAGGTTAAGAGCACTGACTGCTCTTCCAGAGGTCATGAGTTCAATTCCCAGCAACCACATGGTGGCTCACAACCATCTGTAATGAGATCTGGTGCCCTCTTCTGGTGTGTAGATGTTTGTAATAAATAAATAAATCTTAAAAAAAAAAAAAGAAAAAGCATGAATTTAAGGTAGCCTAGATAGCCAGGCTAGAAATGCCTAAATGATTTTTTTAAAGCCCAAACTTCATTGCCCTCTAATTTTAAAACTCCTTGACAATTTTTCTTTCCCCATACCAAGTCTACAGCTGATTAGTATAAAACCCTTTTGAAAGACTCTATTTCCAGAATGTGGCTGAGGCCATGTTCTGCACCCGGCAAGAATGCTCACTCACCTGAGCCCACCGCTGGCAGTCTTCTACAAACTTTCACCTGCTCCTTTTCTACACAAACACTCTCACTAAGAGCCAGCTAGCTACAAAAGCTACGATGACCTACCATAGAACTAGCTGGCCTCCACAGTAAGGGATGAACAAGATACCTATGGTAGAAAAATGTTACTGAAAATATGAAAGGGAAGAACACAAGTTGGTTCAAACTGAAGTAGATGTAATATTAATATAATTAAGTCCCAACACTCAGAGCAAAACCTAATTGAAATGCAGAGGCAACTGACAAAAGTCACAACAGTAATTACAGACTTAAACATTTCCCTAAATTTTGGCAGATTTGATGGCAAAGAAAAAAGGGGGATCCCAAAGAAAAGAACTTAGGCTAACACACCGTGCAAACATTCACAACAATATGTGTGAGTGACATCAATAATGAATATCTTCACTGTTATTACAAAATCCTCTTCCATAACTCTAAGAACAAAGAAGAAATCAACCTCAACTACAGCTATTTAAAAAACTAAGCTTCTGGGACTGGAGAGATGACTTGGTAGTTAAGCATTTGCTAAATTTGCAGAGGACAAGAGTTAAGTTCCCAGCATGCATCATATGGCTCACAACTACCCGTAACAGGGGATCTGATGTTCCCTTCTGGTACACACACACACATATACACACTTTTAATACTTAAAGAATAAGGAACATTAGAGGATATGGCCAAAGGTATAAATGAAGGTAAAGTACACTGAAAGTTCACATTGCTAAAAATAAATAAATAAGCACACAACTCAAAAAGTTCAGAAAAATAATCGTAAAACATCAGTGGGTCAGAGAGCAATGAAGAGCACCAACGAAGTAGTCCTTCCAAGTCCTCTAACAATCACACCCTTAGAGCAGGAAAGGCAAGTACAGACGCAGGGATGGCTACAGACCTGCAGTACTAACCTGATAAGAGCTTTCAGGATGTCATCCCTACCCACTCGAGAGGCATGGTAGACGGGAGTGCTGCGGTGGTGCCGGCTGCCGTTGGGGTCAGCACCAGCTTCCAAAAGGATCTTAGTGCTCTCCAGGTGCCCATTCACTACAGCCACATACAGAGCAGTCTGCCCCTTGACATCCACCAGGTCCACCTCGGCCCCTTTGCGTATGAGGAAGTCCACACAGTTCCCATGGCCTGCAGTGGCTGCAATTCTCAATGGTGTACAGGGGAGCCAACCACAGCACCAGACAGACTTCTCATTGATGCGGCTAGATGGGAACACAGAAACCTTATGAGAATCACGCCAGGCAAATGAGCTGCTTTCCCTCCTTTCACACTGGCAGAGGCTTCCAAGAAAGACAGCCTTTTTGGTAGCCAACCCTCGGATTTAGAATACCTTCACTTGTGTTCTGTTTTCTTTCTCATGGTGCTGAAGATCAAACTCAGGATCTTGTACATGCTATGCAAGTACTCTACCCCTGAGCTACATTTCCAGCCCTTTGTGTTCTATGTGTTGAAAGGCTTCCACAATTGCCCCTGCTGAAATCAAGCAGAGAAAGTAGACATGGGGGCCCATGACAAGGAAACTAGAGGCTTCAGCAGAATAGTTAGCACTAAAACTGAGATTTCTTAGATTCCTAACCCACATTCCAAAGCCTGTTCCTCTGTAAAACATATTCAGATCCATCAAGGACACAGGGCAAGAAAAGCAGGGCCATGCATGCCCTCTTTCTAGTGACCACCTATAAAGGTCCAAGGCTGGAGTCCTCTGCAGATAGAAACAATCAGTAATAGTAATGTCCTCCTATCCTGACCCAGAGCAACTGAGAGCCTAGGAGATCGTTAAGGTTACAGGGACTGTATTCTTGGTCAGCAGTGGCAATAAACTGTCCAGATGCAGCCCTCAGTCAGTATGAGCCAAGACTCAGTGACCAGAAGGAGTCTGTAATCAAGAGGCCAGGAAAAGAAAACAAAGGAGATAGCAGCTGCCACATCCCTATAGTGGAAAGTCAGCTGGCCTATGGCTGATCACTACAGACCTGAGAAGTGAAAAAGAGAACATCAAAGGAATGTCAATAAGTGGCGGTAGAAAAATAACTACCCAAGATAAAGAGCCATAGGAGACAGGTTAGAGAGATGGCTCAACGGCTAAGGGCATGAGCCACTTTCCCAGAGGACCTGAGTTCAATTCTCAGCACCCGCATCAGGTGGGTCACAATCACCTGTGACCCCCATTCCAAGGGATGACCTCTTCAGGCCTCTGTGGGCCACCTGTATTTACATACATATACCCACCCACCTCCATACACACACAATTAAAATAAGTAAAATAGTCAGGCAGAGTAGTACACACCTTTAATCCTAGCACTCAGGGGACAGAGGCAGGCAGATCTCTGTGAATTTGAGGTCAGTCTGGTCTACATAATGAGTTCTGATCCAGCCAAGGCTACATAGTAAGACTGTTGGGGGAAGTCCTGTGCATTTGTCAATAAAGTACTGTTGAGCCTATAGGAAACCTAGATAGGAGGGACTAGGAGTCCAGGAGAACTCTGGGAAGGAGAAAGACAAGAGAGTCAACATGTGACGCCATGGGGGTAGGACGCCGGGAACTATTCTCCGGTAAGAAACATACTTAGATTAACAATTATGGGGTAATTACTTAAGGCAGAGCTAGCCAGTAAGGGACAAGCAAGGCCAACAGCTTCATAATTAATATAGCCTCCTGTGTGTTTATTTGGGACTCATGCGGATCTAGAACCAGGCTGGCGCGGCAGAGCCCAGGTGACTGGCGGGGGATAAACCAAAGCGGCTAGCAAAGGAAAAAGCTTCTCTTAACATAATGGTTGTCAGGAGTGGGATTGAATTTCCACGCAAAACAACAAAAGCTTTAAAGGAATTTTAGAAACAGAAGAACGGAGAAAAGCATAGATTTTTGATAGCAGCATTTTTCTCAGGTGTGCTCTGTTTTGCTAGCGACAAGCCGAGATTCACGTGGCTCGCTTACCGGAGTCTTCCTGACTCGGCATAAAAAGAAAAAAAAAAAAAAACCCAGCAAGGTTGTTTTAAGAGACTCTGCTAACAATTAAAAGGTGTGTACGTACAGCTGGAAGTGGCAGCTTTTGCTGGATGTCAGCATGGACTGAGGCGGTAAGCTGGAGTCACGCTTACGCCCGCCATCTTGACGGAAAAACCGGCAGTTTAAAACAGCCACGGTTTTACAGATAAGACACGTGGCCAGAAAAACATAAAGATTTACAGTAAAGTCAGACTTGGATAAAGAAAAATCTCTAAAGGTTTACAGTGTGTTTAAAAATATACGTAAGATTGAGAGAGAAAATGAAACGACAAAGTGGTATATAAATACAAAAGCCGGCGGTGTGGTGGCACACGCCGGTAGGATTGCTCCAGAGGCAGAGGCAGGCAGGTTTCCACAGAGAAACCCTGTCTCAGAGAAAAATAAATAAAAGTGAAAGAAATAAAGTAATATTAGATAAATAAATAAGCCACGTAAAGATGGAAAATACACAGAGAGTCTGGATACTGTACGCTATTGTGTTTTTCAGTTTTTTGATTGCTAAGGAAGGAACAAATGCTAAAGTACACTTGATTATAAATGCTGCTGAATTAATCCAACTTCTATCTTTTGAAAATGCCTTGACTTCAAAATTTAAGTACAAGGATATGTTACTCGGAAAAGGAGTTTTAATTTATGTTTCCACAGAACATAAAAAGCTGAGGATTTCTTCCAGGCTTCTGTGGTTTGACCAACCAAGACCCCCGGAAGCAGTGGACCAGGTGTTTCAACGACTGAGACAGCTAAGATGATACAGCCTTACAGACCCCGAAAATACGGACTTATACAGGTTTCTGAGTTTTGTCATGATCCCCATGGTATGAACAGCGCCCCCTTCCAGCAGGAAGCAGTTTGGAATGAACGACGTCCCAATTCCCATCTTGTTTATAAATCTTTGTTTTCATTTAAATGGGGTTGTTTATAATTGGCTAATGATCACAGCCAATATTTTTTTAATGGAAAAAAGGGGAATTATGGTATGGGTATTGTTTTTCATTTATTGATACAAATTCAAGGTCAATTTTGTGATATGTATATTTCTCCTCCTGATTAAGTATTGTGCTTATACTGATCTTTTAAAATGTAATGCGTAATTAAATACAGATTATAGATAGTTACTTATAATAGTCAGAATTTATAGTTAGGTTAGTTAGGTTTTCTAGATATACAGAAATATATTTGAGATGGACAGTCTTCAAACCTCTCAAAGACCTTCAGAACATGGCATTTAAAATGGTTTAGGGTTTTTCTTGACAATGAGAAATGTCTGCTCCTGGCAGCACCAATTATGTCTGAGAGGAAAACGGGCATCGAAGAAACTCGTTATGGAGTTTGCTTTCAACATGGCAAGATTAGCCATTTGGGCAAGAAACTGCTCTTGCTTAGACTGTTTGACTGTTGTTGTATAATCTGGACATGCAGGACCCACAGGAAAGTGACTGTTGAACTCAGTCTTACAGGGTTCCTGCTTCATGGAAGAGTCTACGGGACTTTCTGCAGGACACAGAAAAATGACTGACAGACTGCTGATGCAGATGGACAGTTTTGAAATTTCCTGCTTTGCTGAGAAGTGTTGCAGACACATTGTGGCCTATGGGCTGAAGATGGATGCCCGGACAATACAGAGGAACTTCGGGTGACTGTCCAGGCAGTAAGATGTCTCTGTCAATCCTAGTGTTTATATATTATCCTTCTGTGGTCTTTGATGGAGTTGAAGACAGATAGTTATAATTATAGTTTTCCTTAGTTATGATAAAAGATAAGCAACATATAGGACTTTGGACTCACAAGGATGGGATGGATGATATTTTCTTTAAATCTTGCTAAAATATTGTAACTATGTTCTTACTTGATAACTGTTCTGTCATATATAATTTGACTATGTTAAAATTAAGACCTTTCTTTTTGTTTAAACAGAAAAGAGGAGATGTTGGGGGAAGTCCTGTGCATTTGTCAATAAAGTACTGTTGAGCCTATAGGAAACCTAGATAGGAGGGACTAGGAGTCCAGGAGAACTCTGGGAAGGAGAAAGGCAAGAGAGTCAACATGTGACGCCATGGGGGTAGGACGCCGGGAACTATTCTCCGGTAAGAAACATACTTAGATTAACAATTATGGGGTAATTACTTAAGGCAGAGCTAGCCAGTAAGGGACAAGCAAGGCCAACAGCTTCATAATTAATATAGCCTCCTGTGTGTTTATTTGGGACTCATACGGATCTAGAACCAGGCTGGCGCGGCAGAGCCCAGGTGACTGGCGGGGGGATAAACCAAAGCGGCTAGCAAAGGAAAAAGCTTCTCTTAACAGTAAGACCCTGCTTCAAATAAATAAATAAACATCTTTTTTTTGTTTTCTAAAGAACCATGGGGGACTTGGGGAGATAAGGTCACTACTGACGTCTCTAACATTGTCTTCAAGAAAAACACCTAGGAAACTAATGCCAATGCCCAGATAGGACAAGTTGCCAGAAAACACAAAAGCCAATCACAGGGCCAGACTTGAACCCAGAAACCCCTGGCCAAAATATCTGGCCACCAATAATTCTTCCTTTTGTTCCTCCTCTAAAATCAAAATGCATTCCTGTAGCATCAGTCTTAATCTGCAATCCAAACTACAAATTCCAGCCTCCTGAAGGCCCACAGGCCAATACCTGTAACCAGCCCCAGTAGGGATGCTCACCTTCGGTAGCTCTCCTCTTGCAATAGGTTCCTTAGGGTTTGGAGGTCCCCTACGTAGGCTGCATCGTGGAGCCTTGTATCTTCACAGTGCTCTAGTGGATGGTCACAGAATTGCTCCCTCAGCCACTCCTTCAGATTAGGACCTGCACTGAAGAGAGGGCTCCTATCAGGGTGGCTCCTCCCTGCCAGCCACACAGGAGCTTCCAAATCCCAGACAGCAATTCACACGAGAAAGCTATAAAGTTTCCCAATCAAATAGGATGCCTTCTGACACGGCTCCTCCCTGCCAGCCACACAGGAACTTCCAAATCCCAGACAGTAATTCACACGAGAAAGCTATAAAGTTTCCCTATCAAAGTAGCACATTCCTGACCCCCAGTCTGATAAGAATTTTTTTCTAAAAAGAAAAGAAAATGTGATGGACTGAGGAACAATGGAACAATAAACCAATAGTACTTCATAACATAGAAGAACCTAAATAAAGTACTACCAAATTAAAATTTAAAATATTAGCCAAAAAACCTAGCATGTAACTACTCTAATTTATCCCAAGTATGTAAGAGCATCTCTGAATTGGGGGTATCTGAAAAGAGAATGGTAGCCATCTCCTTTACTACAAAGATAGTTGGTTAACCTGAGCCAAGGGCCAAACAACAGTTGCTACTTGGAAAATAGGTGAGCTCTGAAAAATAGCAGCAAAGGTGTCTGGATAAGAAACAATTCAGCAGAGCACTACCATGTCCACAGAGGTCCATGTGTTAGAGGTGTGGTCCCAGTGTTGTAGTGCAGGAGACAGCAAAGCCCTTTAACCAGGGTGGCATCACACTCAGCCACAGGGTCAGGGGAAAGTGTCTTCCTGCAGGACTAAAGAATTTCTCCTGGGATCCTGGCTAGTTCTTTCAGAGGGTAATAAGAGCATGAGACCAGCCCCACTTAGTCTCTGGCTTCCTGGCTAGCAGGAGATTGCACTGACTGCAACTCCCCCACTGCCGTCTGTCCCAGGGTGCCACAGGTAAAGTGAGAGGCCTACCTACATCAGAACCCGAATCATGATATTCAGCCTCTAAGACTGAACTAAATAAATCTCTTTTCTTTACAGTTATCCTATCTCAGGTATTTTGTTGTAGCAATGAAAATGAAAAAAACAGGAAATAAATCTCAAAGGTAAACATTTTGTATTGAAATTACATTTCAAGAGGCTGGGGAGATATCTCAGTTGGTAGTACCTGCCATGCAAACATGAGCCCTTACGCTCAGATCCCCACCATTCATATAAAAAGCCAAGACTCGTATAAAAAGCACATGCCTCTAGTTCTACTGGGGGCAGGGGAGGCTCCCTGAGGTTGTGGATACCTGGGCTGGCTGGCAGACAATCTAGCTAGATCCAAATCTGTAGACTCCATGTGCAGTGAGAGACCTTGTTTCAAAAATAAGGTGGTGAGTGAGGATAACTTTAAATGTTGACCTGTGACCTCTACATATGCATATTCACACATAGAGAAAAAAAATTATACCTCAGTAAAGTAGAAAACTAAAAAAAAAAAAAATATGCAGTCCAGGTGGTGGTTGGTGCATGCCTTTAATACCAACACTCGGGAGGCAGAGGCAGGCGGATCTCTGTGAGTTCAAGGCCAGCATGGTCTATAAGAGCTAGTACCAGAACAGGCTCCAAAGCGAGAGAAACCCTATCTTGAAAAAAAACAAACAATATTTATATATATATATATATATATATATATATATGTATGTATGTATGTATGTATATGGTGTGTATATATATATAAATATATATAACCTATATGACAAAAAATAAAGCGGACTAAATAGAAAAAACATACATACCACATACTAGAAGGAGAAGATTCAATATTAGAGAAAGTCTCAAGGTTACCCATAAATAAAATGTAACCAGTCTCTTCAGAAATTTAATACCAAATATACCAAAATTTTCAAATTTTATTTGTAGATATACATAAGGGAGAATTGCATTTTGTTTTAGTAAGATTAATGAGTCAGGCAGTGGTGGCACACACCTTTAATCCCAGAACTTGAGGCAGAGGCAGGTGGATCTCTGTGAGTGCAAGGCCAGTTCCAGGACAGCCAAAGAAACCCTGTCTTGAAAAACAAAAAACAAACAAACAAAAGAATAATGGGGTGGGCTGGAGAGATAGCTCACAGGTTAAGAGCACTAACTGCTCTTCCAGAGGTCCTGAGTTCAATTCCCAGCAACCACATGGTGACTCACAACCATCTGTAATGAGATATGGTGTCCTCTTCTGCCGTTCAGGCATACATGGAGGTAGAATGTTGTAAACATGATAAATACGTAAATGAATAAATCTTTAAAAAAAAGAATAATGGGGTAAAAACAAAACAAAACAAAATCTTACCATATTAGATAACAAAATTCTCACCAAACTGAACAACACCACCAACAAAAACCAAACAAATAACAACAACAACAAAAACAGGCATCAAAAGCAGAGAGAAAAATGTAGTTAATGGAGATTATTTGTACAATTAATCAACTGCTTGGAAACACCTGCATCTTTGCTCACGGATCACAGCCCAAACTTAACTCCAGGAGACTGAAAAGTTTTGTAAAACATTGCACCAACAGGTGTTATAAAAACAACACAAATTCTAACTGCTGAGATACAAGTCTCCACCCTGTGATGATGCCCTAGCATGTTGTAACCAAGCAGAGTTCTAAAGCACATCCCTTCCCAAGCAGAGCTCTAAAGCACATCCCTTCCCAAGCAGAGCTCTAAAGCACAGCCCTTCCCAAGCAGAGCTCTAAAGCACAGCCCTTCCCAAGCAGAGCTCTAAAGCACAGCCCTTCCCAAGCAGAGCTCTAAAGCACAGCCCTTCCCAAGCAGGCTTTTTCTAGATGTTTAAGTTGTTTCCATATTCAAATAAAAATATACTTTGAATCCCTACTGAATACAAGACTCTCCTAAAGGTACGGCGTGGTGATGAGTAAGTATCCTAGCATTCCAGGATCTCCAAGTCCAAGACAACAAGGCTAACAGCAGAACAAGATTCACAAACAACCAGATGTGCAGCAGATCAACAGGCGGGCATCAAGCCTGGAAACCACTTTTTAAGGCTCTATCCAGGTCCTCCTTCAATCACTACACTCTATTGCAAGTATACTGCAGTTGCCAATGGGTATAAAAACTCAAGGCCAAAGTTGGGGAAGATTCAGATGTATGGGGTAACTGTCAGGAAAGTGGGCACCATTAGACTTGATCAAGCCTTTGGACCTCCGTTTGCTCACCTCTATTCAATGCTACCAGTCTTTTTCCCCAGGTGGAGCTGGCCTCATAACTCCACCCTGTCAGCCCATCCTACTCTGCCAGGACCCCTTCGGAACCGCCCCCAGTGCTAGAGTCAAAGGCCACTTCACGTTTGTGTTTTCTGATCATCTAATCCAATGACAACTCAGCAACCCCCAAGATAGCACTCCAGACCTGCCCTCCACCCCCAGGCTGGAAACACACTAACAAAACAGATACTCAAAGCAGACTGCAGGGGACCAAAACCACTGTTTCTTCCACAGGACCTTTGTTTACACTAAGAAATAGTTGTCTCTTACCCACCTCTCTCCCATCTCTCACTCCTGAATGACAGGGAAGTCCACTCAAAGATCTTGTCTGTCCCTGAGAACAAAGTCACTGCCAACCAAAGTTCTTGGCGGCAGAGGCTTTATCTAGCCTTTTCAGGTCACCCTGACAGCCTCAAGTGAGCCAAGCCAGCCAACAGTAGACCACCAATAAAGTTTGTTGACTAGACAGAGGGAGGGATGACAAGGCTGTTATTTGTGTGGCCTTCTGAGATTTTTGACACCTAAGAGAGTTCGCCGAACAAAACAAGTGCCTCTCCAAAGCCAGAGACGCACATAGCAAGATACTTACTACAAACGTGTCAGTCTCAGAAAGATCCCAATGTGGAACTACGTACCTGGAAATTCTCAGTTTCAAGCAGCAGCATTGCAAAGTGGAGATGCTAACCAGGTGGCAAGTGTCAGCCTTTCTCTGAAGGTGAGTCAAGTGTCGCTGTAAGCGCTGTCACTGGCAAGCTCGCTGGGGGCAGCATGGTAGTCAAGGGGGGGGGGGGGGTTGTCCAGTGGCTGTGATGCACCATCTCGGCCATGCGCTGGCTGGCGAGACGGGATGAGGAAAAGGAGCCTGCCCTATACAGAGGCCCCACCTCTGACCAGTGTGCTCAGACCTGGAAGAGGATCCGTGCCCCATGCCACAGCTGGGGTCACCGTAGACTAGGATCGGCTAACAAGGTGGCAGTTACATGGCCGCGGGAGGGCCGTCCACGAGAGGCCGAGGGCGGAGGTCGAGCCCTGGGCCCCACGAAGCCTTACTGACCCCGAGTGCGGCTCCGCGAACCTGGCCGCCGGGGACGGAGGACGAGGCCCGGGATGCCCGAGAGCCACCCAGACTGAACCCGAGACGCAGCCCCCCCGTACCCTACCACTCCACGCCGCTCACGTTACCTGCGGACCCCGGGCCGGCCCGCCCTTCGGGGCTCCCGCCCTCCGCCATGCCGACTCGGCCCTCAGCCTCCGCCCTGACCCCGCCGCCCGACCGTCGGCCTCCGCAGCGCCTCCGTCAGAGCAGCAACCCTGTCCGAGATACACCTCCGCCGCTTCCGCAGCTCGGCTTCCGGCCAGTATGCACCTCCCTATCGCACTTCCGGCTCTGCCTGCTCTCGGGACGTCTGGGTCTCCACTTCCGGCCTAGCTAACGGACTTGAGAGCCGGTCTGTGAGGAAGGCAAAGCGGTGTAGCGGCGTCTACGAAGGAAGCGGCCAGTCTGGGGAAACGCCTTTCCCCAGGGGGCGGAACTCCTGATTGGCAGGTTCTGTCCCCGCCCACGGAAAAGGCGGGACGTGGGCGTGACCGTTTGCCACCAAGTAGACTGGTCTCCACCTCCCGCGGCGGCTAAAGGGCGACTGGAAACGAGAGGCGCGCTTCTCCTTGCAGCGCAGCGCGGCTCCAGACCCTTGTCAAGTGGTGTTAGTTGAATGCAACTCAGAATGTCTCCATGGAACCAGCAGTGTTTGTAGCCTGGCAAGGCGTGTGAACCCAGTGACTTTCCTCCAAAACTCGCGATTTTACACGGGTCACACCGTGTGCATCGCGTCCAGAACAGCTTTTAAGCATAGACGCCTTCGCGTCCTTCCATTCTCCCTCTCGCGACTTAGAGAAATTAGGGAAAGAACCTTGCAGGGGAAGGACCCCAGTGAACCGGGGAGGCTGCGCCTTCGGGAGACAGAAGCTCCCCGCCGTCCGGGGAGGTGGGGAGAGGCCGCAGTCCCCAACACGGTAGCTGTGACTTGTCTGCATCTTTGTGTGGCCATGGCACAGCAGCTGAGAGCTGGCAACCCAGAGGTAGCCGGCATAACCTCGTGCCCAGACTGGCTCACGGGCATTGAGGGTGTCGAGGGGAAAGAGAAGAGATTCCTGCAGTGGTGTTTGGGTTTGATAACAGCAAGAGAGCCCTGCTGGCATGAGGGACTGGTGACACCAATGACACTGCAAGGCAGAGGGCCAGCTGGCACAGCCTCATCTTGGCTCTGCTCCACGGCTGCAGATGGCAAGCTGGGATGCCTCAAGTGTAAAACCACCTAGATGTGCATGCATGGATTCATACACACCAAAATGTGGCACCGTGGGCCGTCCATACAGCCTTGAAAAGTCTCCATCCCGGGCTACAGCATGGACAATTCTGGAGGACACTGTGCTCGGTGAAATAAGCCACCTATGAAGACAAATCTTCCACGTCACTAAAGGGATCAACTTCATAGAAACAGAGTGGCATAAGAGATACCAGGTTGATACCAGAAGAGGGAGTGTCCATGGTGAGGGGACAGAGATAAAACTCCATGCTGTCACCCTAGCCAGAGAACGTCCCTTAATTCTCTTAGAGACTGCAAAAAGACTCAGGCCAAACTGGATTCATGGCTCTGACTGAGACAAGAATTCTAGGACTGGTAAAAGCAAATTTGAGGGTTTTGTTAAAGATATTAACATAGACTTGAACCACAAGGCTTAGAAGAGAGTACCAAGAAAGACACACCCAAGTGTAGCTCCTCACGGGACTCACAATCTTAGCACTAGCTATATGCAGCATTTTGATGTCTCTTAAGTTAGATCTCAAAAGGTTGCTCAGAAACATGTGTGTGTGTGTGTGTGTGTGTGTGAGAGAGAGAGAGAGAGAGAGAGAGAGAGAGAGAGAGAGAGAGAGAGAGAGAGAGAGAGAGAGAGGGAGAGGGACAGAGGGGGAGAGAGAGAGAGAATATAAAAAGTTCGGAAGTTGGGGAGGGGAATGAATATGATTAAAATACATTGTGTAAAAGCTTTCAAAGAAGAGGTTTTGATCAGGTGCGTCTTGCCCGGATCGGGCTGTCAGAGTCTCTGGTGACTCTAGCATGCAGCCAGCTTCAGCTGTGCCACCCTCCCTAGTCCCAAGGAGCCCAAGTAGCTGCCCTAGGTTTTCACAGCCTATGTATGGAGGTCATGTGGCCTGAGCAGAGCCTTCATACCCCTCATCTGCCCCGCTTCCCCCCGTGGAGGTCATCTGCTCTAAAGAGGTAAGCCACCCTTGGTTCATGAAGGGAAGGTGGTCTCCCACTCCCAAAGCATATGGCAGCATTCTCAGTGTCTGGAATAAGGCAAATGGAAGGTCACATTCTCATTGACCCACACTCTTAGTTCCCCCAAGGTCAGGAGCCTGATTAGTGTTGTAGCTATACCCAAGACCTCAGAGCCTGCAGCTAACTGGGTCAAGCCTTTTCTCAAAGACCACCCAGCCCTACATATCTCTCCCCTACAGATCCCAGTTCTTCCAGGTTTTCTGAGCTCAAAAGACCTACCCAGAAAGGAATCCAGCAAGGAGCCAGGCAGGACACCTCATGCTCAGGAGCTCCTCATCCTACCTCAGCCCCTTCCCACTGCACACAGCAGGGACATGAGGCTACCCAGATGCATAAAGGGAAGGATGCTGCCCACCCCACCCCACCCCCAATCAGATGTGCTGACCCTCCACAGCTCATGCCCTGCAGCTAGCTTACCTCTGAGACTGAATCAGTGGGGGTCTGAAATGGGCATCTCTCCTGGCCCTGAGCCCAGGTGGGGAAGGTAGGACCTGTTCCCAGCAAGCCTCATCCACTCTTCTCTTCTGAAAATCATGTTGCAACTTCCCATCCTTGGTGGAGGTGAGAAGATTCTTCAGTTTTCACCAGTGAGTCCAGAAGACTTAGGTTCTCCCCCAGAAACATCTTTTCCAGGTCTTGCTTGCTCCAGACATTGCTACCCAAGCCTAGAGCCAACTTGTGAAGTACTAGGAGGCAGAGTCCACATCCTGCTGGTGGACCTCAAATGGGGCAGTTCCTCCACACATGAGTTTCCTCGTCACTGTACATGCAGTGCAGCCCACTTCACTGGGGTGATAACTCAAATTTGGATAATGACCAAAAATTCCACAAGTGCCATGTACTGATGAAACATCTCAGAACTCTAAGAGAGGCCTGTGGATGTTCCTGTCATGACACTTGGCTGAGGGTCATTTTACTCTATTCAAATAAAAACCACACAGAGGTGGCTCCCTTAGTATTGACATCCCTGCATACCTGAAACTCCACAAGGTTTCCAAACCTCAGGGCTTAGAGTTCAAGCCCTGATAACCAGGGCCTTGTGGTGCCAGCCTTTCACAGCCAGAAACTCAAAGCTCCAGCACTCAAATCACAGTTCTGTGCCTTCAAACGTGGGATCCCTGTAACCAGTGTCACAGCTCCAAAGCAGAGTGATCGGGTCCTCCACCACCTGAACCAGAGAGGTTCATTGCTCACTGCTTTACCAAAGAGAAAAAGCCTCAGCTTCTCTCTGCTCTTGCCTGTAGCACTGTTGCAATTTATAGAAAAGATGAGTAAAAGCCAGGAAATGCACATGTGTACACATAGCTCCCAATAACTGATGTGAACTGTGCAATTCACCTTTTCCTGGGAGACATCCAGGAGCTGCCCCTCTGGTGCCTGGGCTTCAGACCCCAGCATAGGAGTTGGTGAAATCAATTAAAAAACTCTCCCTCTGATACTCTCTCAGCCTAGACACAAGGGGGGAGGGCCTAGGGCCTGCTCCAAATGATATGACAGACTTTGAAGATCCCCCATGGAAGGAAGGTCTCAACCTCCCAGGGAAGCAGAAAGGGGATGGGAGGGAGGGGGGTGGTGGGGGACAGAGGAGGAGGGGAGGGGGAGGGAACTGGGATTGACATGTAAATTTAAATTAAAAACAAAAACAAACCTCTCCCTCTCCCCCTAGTCTGGCTCATGGCAAATCTCCTGCCTCAGTCCCTCAAGAGCTGAGATCACAGGTATGAGCCACCACACCTAGCTAAAACATTTTTACTTCCTATTTAAACCCTTTGAACAATTTAATTTCAAAAGCTAAAATCTACCCACACTGGAATGTTAAGACACTGGATCGGGACTGTTGAGAAGCCTGTGCCCACTCCAGAGTGACTATCGTCCTCTTGCTTTCCTTTTGAAAAAAAAAAATGTTTGTATTGCTGTGTACATGCAGTGCCCAAGGAAGCTGAAGAGGTCCCAGTGTTGGTTCCCTTGGAGCTGGAGTTACAGGTGCTTGTAAGCCACCTGATGCAGGTTCACGGGACCCAAACTCATGCCCCTGAATGAGCAGCAAGCACTCCTCTCCACTCAGCCATCTCCATCCAACCGTCATCTCTTAATTCCCGTGCTTAAACCTTTGTGAAAGCTTTGTCTAAATAAACACAACGTTTGCTGGTCCTGACTCACACTGAAATCCTTTTATTCAGTGAGGAATCCTGGCTTCCTCTGAGTGGAGTTTGGAAGAGCTCCACGAGCTGCTGTAGCCAGGAGTGCAGAGACGACACTTACCTGTGTATGGTGCCTACTGTGTACTGGAACTGTGGGAGATTTAGAGCTGAAGAAACCTCAGCCTACAGTGGGAGAGGAGTCGAGAAACTCACTCAGACAGACCCAGGGCATCGAGAGTGACTCCCAAACCGGATGAGGAAGTTAGTCCAGGACAGAGGGGCTCCAGAATATAGGACTGCAGTTTCACAACCAGGGTTAAGCTGGGACTGCATCCCCTCTGCAGCCTGGACTCTGCCCTTCATTGTATTTTCCTCATTGCCAGGTACCGTTTTCCTCCCACAAAACATGGCTTCTGTCAGTTGGACTCCTAAACCCACTGATGGTCCCGTTAGGCAGAGGAGCCCTTCATTAGGGAAGCCCAGCTCCCCACCCCACCGCCACCTCCATTGTACACACACAGACATGGTGTCTTTGCCTCCTCACACCATCCCTGGAGCTCTTTCTCCAGTCCATCGGGTGTCCCATCTGACCATCTGACACTGGGCTCCCAGCCCTGCTCCCCCCATGTGACCCCTGACATTTATCTCCTTGCCTACGTCACAGCTGACCCAGAAGCTATCTCCTGTAGACACTCATTTCTCCCTCTGCTGGGATGAGTGTGTGTTTCTCTCATGGGAACTTGCCTACGCTTATCCGGATAAGTGGATCACTGTCCCTCAACAGCCAGAGCCAACAAGATCCAGAAATGCAGGGACAGTCAAAGTGGAACCCTGCCCCTTGGAACCCGAGGACCAGAGTGGAGTGCTGAAGAGCAGCCTCAAAGAGAACTGATTCCTGTGAATGCAAGCCAGCTACACAAAGGGTCTTTGCAAATGTCAGTGAAGAACGTCAGAATGAAGTCACTTGGAGCAAGGTTGACTCCTCGTAAAGTTTATTCCAAAGACACAGCTATTAAAGGCCTGGTCCCCAATTGTGGTGCTATTAGAAGTTGGTGGAACCCTTAGGAGGAGCCTAATGTCAGAAACTGGAGTGACTGGAAATGTCCCATCAGACTGTGGGACTGTGGGACCCAGACCTCCTTCCTCATTCTCTTTTACTTCCTGGCCATGCAGTCAGTGGTTTTGCTCTGCCACATGCTCCCAGAAAAGTGCCATCTTGCCACTGGCTCAAAAACTGGGAGAGCCTGCTCTGTGGCCTCACTAAAGGACCACCACCTCCTCACTCAGCAAGTAGTTTTTCACCACACGCCCACAGTCTCAGAAATCAACACTCTGGTTTCCCTTTTGGACCAGGAACAAGTCCAGTTGGATCCCCAACCAGGGACAAGAGGTGTAGGAAAGACTCCCCTAAAGGATTTGGAAGACAGAAAAGATCAAGATGTCACAGCATGTAGCTGCTCTCGGCTGTGTTACCCAAAAGCACTGTGTGGGGGGACGTCTTTCAGAGGTTAATTATTCTCATGCTTAGAATTGATTTCCTCCCAGGCCCCAAACCAAAGGACACGAGCACAAAGGGGGCTGTTGTGGAAGCTGAGGCTCCTGCAGAGGTCATGCTGGGGTCAGAATCAATGGCACTACCTTGGGCAGGGAACCAGCAGAAGGCTAGTTCTGAAGCCATAAAGGCTCAAAACGCCCTGTGTAGCAATTAATAAATACCATTGTTGATAGACAGGAACAAAGCCCCCCTTCACTTCTTGATTTGGTGGCCCGTTTGGTGAAGCACTTAGGAACAGACTCAGCCAACATACACACATAATGGCTTTAATTACATCCTGTGAATTTATTTTTCCAGGGAGAAGTATTTCTGAGGGGAAATGTCCATAAAAGTAGCTTTAGCAGAGTGTGATGCATGTGCATTTCCTATAGGAAATCTGTTTAGTTTAAATCCCAGCTTGAGGGCACAAAGACAGGGGACCCAGAGCAACCTGCTGACAGCCCAGAGGGGGTGAGTGGTGGTGCAGGGACACTGTGCCCTTTGCCTTTGTCCTTGAGATGACTTTCTCAGTTGGGCACTCGGTAATTCAGACTTATTCTTAGGAGTCAAGTGGCTATGCTTTCATGGCTGCTGTCCTCCTGCCAACTGAGACTCCTCAGAGATGGTCATCTCCCAAACTTTTGTTTTAAAGTTACCTCTGAATTGTAGGACGGACGGACGCATGCGCGCGTACACACACACACACACACACACACACACACACACACACACACACGTCGGTTATATTAACATGCCTTCTTTATATACCACTTTTCTTTTTTTAACATAACCAATACCGACACCACAATGGCTATGACTCATTCTTTCTAACTTCTCGAATCTTTGGCTCTCCAGCTTCCAGGACCGCCTGACATCCAAGCACTCAATCTACACTGACAGGTACTGAACCTGAGGGCACAGAGGGAAGTTCTGAAACAAAATTAAGTTGCCTCCAGTTACTTCAGTCCTATTACATACCCACTTTCAAGATCTGAGGGGACAGCTCAGCGGGTAGAGCGCCTGTTGTACAAGCATGAAGAGCTGAGTTTGGGTCCCCAGCACACACATAAAAAGCCTGGTACAAGCCGGGCGGTGGTGGTGCACTCCTTTAATCCCAGCACTCGGGAGGCAGAGGCAGGCGGATCTCTGTGAGTTCAAGACCAGCCTAGTCTATAAGAGCAAGTTCCAGGACAGCCTCCAAAGCAATACAGGGAAACCCTGTCTCGAAAAACCAAAAAAAGAAAAAAAGCCTGGCACAGTCACACAGGACTACAATTCCAGTGCTGGGGGAGGAAAAGGGACAAAAACAGGAAGATCACATGGTCTTGCTGGCCAGCCAGCCTAGCTGGAAAAAAAAAGAAAAGATGAGTTCCAAGTTCAGTGAGGCTTTGTAGTAAAGGGTAAGGCAGGGTGTGGAACATCCAATATCCTTCTCTGGCTTCTGCACACAGGCATGGGCACATGTACACAAGCATATACCATGCACACACACACACACATCACACATAAGTAAATAAACCACTTTATCCATGTCCTCATTCATAAACGTACAAAACTGTGGCCTTGGTGTATAGATACACAGCTTATTTTCCTTTTTATCCTAAGTTCTCATTTTTTTTTAGATTTATGTATTTAGATTTAGACTTATGTATGGATGTTTGCATATGTGTGTGTGTGTGTGTGTGTGTGTGCATGCCCAAGGAGTTCAGAAGACAATGCATCTGCTGGAGCAGGAGTTACTGATGGTTGTAAGTCACCATGTGAGTTCTGGGACCTGTACCCAAGTCCTCTGCAAGAGCAGCAGATACTCTTAACTTCTGAGCTGTCTTTTTAGTCTTTGTCATGAGCTTAATGCTTCATTTATCTATAAAAAAATTTGTTCTCTGTGACACAAAATACTTCTGACATCACAGTGGGGAGAATCAAGATGTAATTAGGAAGGAGAGATGTCTAAAAGCTATGTTTTCTATAGTTTCAAGGATTAGATACCAGACTAGTCCTAGGAATGGAAACTGTATGCAACAAAATATACATATACAACATAAAAATCACTTTCTTAAACTCTGTGGTGATACTTTTTCAATAAATGCTAAGCAAAGCCCTTTGTTAGGGACAGGTACAACACATCAGAAAGACAGATCTGACGCACAAACAGACCAGAGGGCAGACAGGCCAGTAATCACAAACTACAGAAGGAAGGAGAGTTTACATTTGGGTTCACACTTGGTCAAGAAAGTAACAAGCAAGTATGGTCTGGAGGTGACTGGAACCAAGTCCACTCTCTCCAGAGGCCTCTGTGCTCTTCCCATTGCTAAGGAATCCAAGCATTTTAACAGCAAGATGATGTCTTGACGGGTTTAAAAACAAAAATGAGGAATGAGGAGGTCTTGAGCTTTACAGGCAATGGGAGCGCTCTTGGAGGAGCAGCCTGCTGCACCTGGTGCCTGTGCAAATGCTCTGAGTGGGCTGAGGAGCAGCAGCCTGTGAGGCACCTAGAGAAGTGCTTCTGTCCACAGCACTGCAGGCTGCAGGACCTATGTGGAGCACTCATAGGATGCTTCTAGATCACTTGAACCAGTTTAATGCTTAAAACAGACTTTTTCTGTGTGCTTGGATTTATTTGTGCACATCAAAAATAAGAGGGTGAACTGGTTAGTTCAGGCAGCTTGCTTGGTAAAGCAAGTTAGGCTCACCAAATCCTTTGTCAACCGACTTTGATGCCTATCCACCCCAAACTCTCCCTGACACTTGAGGCACAGCAGGGAAGAGTACCTCTGTCTTCACATACTTACTCACTGCTGTTTTTGTAAAGTTGATCACTGAAAGGAAAATAAGTGTGAACAATACAGTATGAAGTATGAATGTTAGCCCTGGGCTACTGTTTTCAGTACCTGTGTATCTGGGTATGAGTGCAGGTGCACATTGTAGCAGTCACTTCTCACTTTCCGCCTCGTCTGAGGCAGTCTTGTTTGCCGCTGCACAGACCAGGCTGGTCCAGCCGCTCGGGACTCCCTGTCTCTGTCTCGGATCCTGCTGTAGGAGCTGTGGGACTGCAGATGTGAGCTACCACACCTGGCTGTTTTATGCGGGTTCTGGGGCCCCTACTCAGGTGCTCACGCTTGCACAGTGGACCCTTTACTCACTGGGGCATCCCACCACTGCCCCCATGCTATTTGAACACATGTCTCCTAAGCTCAGATTAGGGTCAGCGGAGTCTGAGACTTCATATCCCTAACATTAACTCCGTACTTGAGGAAACTTATAAACCATAAGGGAGACAACCAGGAATTCTACTTCTATACTCTCTCAGAGTAAGGTCAGGGATTAATGTGTACATCCCCAAAGCAAAGACAGTCACAATATAGCCTTCAGAAATGACACATGCCATCTTAAACCTTCTAGCAAAAGACGAGTGGACTCATAAAGTGACAATCACTACAGGAAAAGCAGTGTGTCACAGTATGGATGAGAAGCTATTTCCCCTGGACATACCTGAAATTAAAAGTCCAAAAGCTCACATTTTTTTTATCAACTTGACAATCCATACACTTATAGGAAAAATAGGTGATTATTTTAATGATTTATGTAAAAAAGAAAAATAAAACTTTATGATACAATCTGATAGACTACAGCATATAAAATTTACTCACATACAATGTATGTAATTTTGCAACATAAAAATTCTATTCATATATACAAATTCATAAAAGGTTTTATATATATGTTAACTTGGGCTACATAGGGTCCACTTAGGGTTATGGCTAACTCATTCACTTTAGTAAAAAATAGATTATGAACATACAAAAGACTAGTTGACTACAAGCCTTCCCTCCCCATCCCCCTCAAACTATTCAGAAGCATCTGGGTGGGAGAAAAGTGTGGTGTGCTTCAGTCAGGAGAAAGACAACCCACTAAAGGAGCCTTCACACTGTCGCAACAGCCCCTGGCTGAGGACTGGGCTGCTGCCTTTAGCTGCCTGAGAAACACTAGCTGTGCCATGTGTGCAAGCCTTAAGAGACAAAATGTGCTCAGGCAGTCTTCACACATTCCAGGGCTTGTCTTAGTGAACATAATAAATATTCAGATACGTAAGTGCCATCTCAGACCTTAAGCCAGCAAGAACATCTCCAAAGACTGTGAGATCCTTTAGACAATAATTCAAGACCTCATAAGTATTTACAGTATTTTACATAGGCGAAAACTGAATATAAACCATAAAAGCTATGCTTTAAAAAAAGACCTTTAAAAAAGGAAAACAAACACAAACTGTAAATTGGTATGCTCTCTTCCTTAGTCCCCACACTCCCAGTGCACACACCTACATAAAGGAAAAGGGCTGTGCTGCCTGCCCTTCATGCTACAAGGTCTTGGGAGGCCTGGGGGACTGCTTATCCATCAGAAGAATCCTGGAGGCTGAAGAAAGCCCAGGAGGTAACCAGCGACAGTTTCCCATCAGATGGCACCCATGGAGGCCAGACTGAGTTCTCCTGTTTCAGCATATGAACTGCCAGAAAAGCAGACAGCAGGGCCATGAGGGGACGGCAGAAAGACGCATGTACAATAGGAAGAACGGTGACCCTGCACAGGTAACAGGCACCTTTCAAGAACATGGGCTGAAATGTCCCTTTCAGGTAGAAATGAAAATGCAATTTAATCCTTTGAGGCCTTGTTCCCTTTCTATTTATCAAGTACACACCAAAAAGTCCACAGTCTCCTTTGCTCAGTGCTGGCAGGAAGTCCTTCTGGGAGACTCGGAAGCAGAATAAAGGCCTGCAGTTTCCCCAGTAGCACGACACAACTTACCTGCCAGAAACTTCAGGTACAGGATTAAACAGGCTGCAGCAGAAAACATCATTTGCCCAAAAAACCCCAGAGAAATAAGCCCTCCTATAAAGGCAAGCTGAAGACTAAAGTAGCAAGTATTGCAGCTGGAGGAGGTAAGAAAACACAGCCTTTTAATAAGTTTAGCGCCTAAACCGAAAGCTCTGACTTTAGCCGGGTCCAGGCATCTGCAGTCCATTCCCTCGGCAGGCTGACTGAGGCAGAGTGTGGTCTCCTTTCTCTTCTCCCATCATCTCTGCAGAGCTGGCCGTTCACCTTCGTGACGTCAGGTTGATACTGTGCACCATCTTCTGGATCTTCTCCTCGTTCTTCAGGATGTTGGCCTTCACAGCACAGATCTTGTCCTGCTGGTCTCTGATCTGCTGCTCCAGCTCAGACAGCTCTGCCTTCAGGGGTTCCACCGCACTGTCTGTGATGCTGATGGGAGACAGCCAGTGACTCATCAGTGTCCTGAGGGTTCTGTCTGCACCTCTCCCTCCAGCCCAAAAGCCGGTAGCAGCAAAGGGCTGGCTTCACCAAGAAAAGGGTTAAGTGCCAGACCCCAGGCAGCACTCACAGCTGGCAGGCCTACGTGCAATCAAGCCTGAGAATGCCAATCACGTGTCTCTTCCCACAGCACCAGGGGGAGAACCCAAGCCTCATGCTAGGCAGGACTCTACCACAGAGCTGTTTCTCTAGCCCACGTGAGATTCCCTTTCAAAAGTAAAATGAAAAGGAGCTACTATTTCCTCAGAGACAGGCTTGAAGTCCTTACAGCTTATAGCACACACACAAAGACTGAGGGGCAGCAAGGAAGTGGGCTACCAAGTCCCCACAGACTCTGGACCCAGCCTGGACCAGTCAGGCAACACCTCTCCTCTGGATAAGGCTCACAGGGCTGAGAGGAACTCCCTCTGCCCATGTCCCATTTGTTCAGCAAGGGCAGGTGGCCTCTTCATTGTTGGGCAGAGCACTGGAACAAGCACAGAAAATACCTCAGAATGCTGGAGTCAAACATAACCTTTCCCTTCAGGCTTACAAATAGAAAGTAAACACAACACCAAGAGCCAGGCCCGCTCTATGCTGCAATAGCGCAGGGTCAGGTTCTACAAGAGAGGCTCTTTAGGCTGACATTTCCCAATATTTTAAGTCAAAACTGACGAAGTGCTAACCATCACATGCTGCAATCTTCACTAACAGTCTCAGTGATTTTCTAGATTTTCATGTTGCATATTTAAAAATTTAAGGGACTAAACATAATAAGAAAGAGCGCCCATATTGGTTGTCCCATACAAAGCAGTCAGCCCTGAAATCATATGCACACAACAAAAGCAGACGTGGGACATACATACTTAATCAAAAAATAAAAGGCTATCAGTTTGAGAGTGGGGGCATCAGAGAAGGGTTGGAGGGATATCTAGCAGAGGCTGGAGAAAGGGAAACAGGAAAAGTGATGTAATTCTACTAGGAAATTAATTTTTGGGTTTTTTTGTTTTGTTTTTTGTTTTTCGAGACAGGATTTCTCTGTATTGTTTTGGAGGCTATTCTGAAGCTTGCTCTGTAGACCAGGCTGGCCTTGAACTCACAGAGATCCTCCTGCCTCTGCCTCCCGAGTGCTGAGATTAAAGGGATATGCCACTGGTTTAGGAAATTAATTTTTAAAAATTGAAAAAAGAAAAGACAGTATGTTTCAGTTTGGTGTAGTGGTGCACATCTTTAATCACAGTGCTCAGGAGACAGATGATTTCTGTGAGTTCAAGGCCAGCCTGGTCTACATAGTGAATTTCAGGCCATCCATGCTATACTGTGAGACCTTGTCTCAAAAAAAAAAAAAGAAAGAAAGAAAGAAAAGGAAGGGAGGGAAGGAGGGGGGGAACCATTTATAACTCAGCTTTTCTGTAACATGGACTCACAGATGCATCACTTATTCAAATCACATCTTCTGAAGAAAAAGCCTGCACAGTCACATGCTTCTAGATTTACTGATTACAAACGCAGGGGACCTTTCTAAATAAATGTCCTTTAAATAAAACAGCTTTCTAAATAAACCTCACTTCTCAATGGCTAGACTATTTCTTACAGTTACAGTTTTGAATGCTTTCATCAGTATCTCGTTCAGATCCCCCACCTCTCTGCTTCTGCAGCCCCTGCTCCCCTCTGCAGCCCCCGCCCTCCTCCCCTCTGAAGCCCCCGTTCCCCTCCTCTCTGCAGCCCCCTCCCCCTGCAGCCCCGCCCCCTCCCCTCTGCAGCCCCCTCCCCTCTGCAGCCCCCGCCCCCTCCCCTCTGCAGCCCCCCTCCCCTCTGCAGCCCCCGCCCCCTCCCCTCTGCAGCCCCCTCCCCTCTGCAGCCCCCGCCCCCTCCCCTCTGCAGTCCCCCCTCCCCCTGCAGTCCCACCTCTGCTCCTTGGTCAGGGCCTCCGCATGCTGCCTGTTCTCGATGTGCCACAGCTGCAGCTCGTTCTGCATGGCGTCGACGTCCTCCTGGATGTAGTCCATGATCTTTCCCAGGGGAAGTGCACTCTTACACAGGGTCTGGATGGACACTCGGAGTTTCTCTATCTCCTTCGAAACGATGTCCTTCTCCTTCTTCCATGCTGACTCAAAGATGAGGGAGCGCTCCTTCAGTTAGGGAGGAAGAAGAGAAAGTCTTCAGGAGTGAGCTAGGCAAGTTAGAGCAGCACCAAGCGGGCGCCACAAAAGGAACCCGCGATGAACTGAACTATGAGAAACTGCTTGTTCTGCAGAGTTCCCAAGAAGCTGAAAGGACCAGAGAGAGCCAACACGGGCAAATCACACATTGCAGAGGAGACACGCACAGTCAGGAAGCACAGAGAACTCACAGCTCTGGCAGAAAGCACGCAAACCAATCTGACCAGGAACAAGAGACACAGAGACAGACATGACCAGTAGTAAGCTCATGAAACCGTGTCCAAGAGCACCGGTGGCTCTAAGTGCAATTTTTACAGCAATGCCCGGTATCAGGGTCTCTGGGTCTCTGGTAACTGCCGGTTAGGCAGCTTGGGGGTGTCTTTAAAGACATCCCAATCTATAGCTTGAATCTAAAAGCGTCTGCTGAAGGCTTGGGCATTATGAAGGGGATTTTTGAGAGGTGAGATGACTAGATAATGGAGGGTCTCTCCTCACCCTTGAGAACTGAAGGACCTCTCGGCTCCCTCTGCTCCTCAGCTGCATAGGTGAGCAGCTGAGCTCTATTGTCAGCGCTCAACCTCACCACAGCCCAGAGCACTGGAGCTGACTAAGCACAGACAGAAACCCCAGAAGCTTCGAGCCAAAACACAACTATCTCCCTTGAAGTTGATTTCCTCAGGTACTTTGGTCAAAATAACAGAAAGGTGACTGATACACATACAATCCAGCAAAGGAACATCCAAGCATTACTCAGAAAAAAATTAAAACTCACATTCACACAAAAATCTATACATAAATGTTGACATTTTATTTAAACTAATTATAAACTGGACATGCTTGTAAATCTAGCACTTGGAAGGTAGAATTGAGAGGGTCAGAAGTTCAAGATTATCCCCTCAGCTACATAGCCAGTTTGAGGCAAGCTAGAGATCTGTCTCGATAAAAATAAAAATAAAGGAAAAAACAAAAAGTAGTCACAAGCTAGAAATAGCCAAAATACGTTAAATAAACTGTGGTATATCTATATTATGGAAGACTATACAGCAACAAACACACACACCATCACCTGAACAACTCTTGGAAAATTATGCCAAATGAAAAAACCCTGCTAGGCTATAAACTGAATCCTCATATTCACAAGCCTGAAGGACAGAGTTACAGAAGTGGAGGGCATAAACTGAATCCTCATATTCACAAGCCTGAAGGACAGAGTTACACTAGTGATGGCCAGGAGCTTAAGGTGGGAGAGAAGAGGTCAAGCCATAGAAGAGCACTGAGAAGGATCTTGTGACTGGAATGTTCTGGAGCTTGACTATGCTAGTGTTGGTAATCTGGGTGTGGGGGACCCCATAGGTGGGCTAGGAAGGCTTTAGAGCACACCTCCAGTGCTTCCCACAGCTCAGAGGGATCCACAGTTACCTCAAAATAAAATGCTTTTGTTAAGGGAGATAGGGAAGCCAGGCATGGTGGGGCATACTTGTAATCCTAGAGTTGGAGGTGGAGACAGGCAGGCGGGGCTTGCTGACCAGCCAGCCCAGCCTCCTAGATGAGTGAGACACCTTGTCTCAAAAGAAAAGGCAGGTTGGAGCTGGACAGATGGCTCCATGGTTAGAAGCACTGGCTCTTCTTTCAGGGACCTAGGGGTAACTCCCAGTACCCACATGGCCGCTCACAATACCTAACTCCACCGGCTACAACTCTCTCTTCTGGCTTCTGTAGGCCCTAGGCACACACATGGCACACAAACATATATGAAGGCAAAACACTATATACATTAAAAAATAAAAAACAAACATTTTTAAAGGTGGACAGTACCTGAAAAACATGATACCTGAGGTTGCCCTCTAACCTCTACACGCACTTGTACAGACAGGGACACATATACACGTGTACACACACACACACACACACACACACACACACACGGGAGTGACTGATTACATAAAACCCTTTAAACTAAAAGGCTAATGACTAAAAGGAGAAACAAACTACTTCTATGGGGAAATGAACTATATTATATGTAAATCAGTGGGCCTCTCCACGTCTACTGCCATAGAAGCTGAGTAATGTGGAAATGCCACACACACTCACAGCACCACTACTATCTAGCAGCAAGCAGAGTGCCAAGCCAACTTGCAAGATGCAGGGGTGACAGAAGGCAAGCTGGCCCTGCACGGCGGGCAGGGTTCCAGATTGAGTGAGAGCGGTGACAGAATCCCTGGGAAGGAACACACTGGCCTTGCTTGTGCCCAGGGAGGGCTGAGGGCTGGAGAGCGGGGAGTGTCGTGGGAGGGATGTGGGAAATACAATGAGGACCCTGGCTTGATCCTGACCAGTGACAGTCATGGGAGGGATGTGAGTGTCAAAGAAAGTTCATTACATCAAAGTTTAAAAGCCATTCAGACTTCAGGAAAGGGAAGGAGCCCAACGGCATCAGAGACAACTGTCCAGCAATGCATTGGGAAGGCAGGGCTGGGGCTTGAAGCACATGGCTGTCTTTGGTTGGTTGGTCCATGTTTTGTTTTCTTTTGAGATGGGGTCTCAACTGGCCTCAAACTTGCTATGTAGTCCAAGACAACCTTGAACTTGTGATTCTCCTTTGTCCAACTCCTGCGTGCCATGTCAGGATGACAGGACTGCACCAGCAAACATAACTTAGGAGAGTGTTTCACTCATAATTTTTTAAGTAGAAGTCTTTCGTTGCATTGCTGAAACCCCACAGATCAGTCCCATAATCCAGGATCCCGTTTCAGTAACCGGATCTTACTGGCCAGCCTCTGCACTGGTCCTCTGCAGAGACACAGGTACCGTGCACTCCACCACCCCTGACCACCACGGCCTTGTTTTTAACTACTGCAACTTGTGATGTGAAACAATGTCAGCATCGTTTTCAACCAGAACCACCCAGCTGTGTAGGCCGCAGACACTCAACAGGCATCACCTGTACCCACCTGAATGCCACACATGTATTTTATGGCCCATTCTGCTGAATGACAATGCTGATAAGGTAAGAACGCACAGACCATGTGACACTGTGATCAAGATTTGTGCACAACCACAGACTTAAGGACAAAAATCACCTTATTTCCTTAAAAGACAAACCCAAATTCCCACAAACTAACAGACCTTTTCCTAAAGCTTTTGTGAAAGAAACCAATCCTAGTAATAACAACAACAATAATAATAATAATTACTATTGTTATCATATTACATAATAATAGCTACTATTGCTATTATACAATAATCGTTATATTATGCAATAATAGCTGTAGTAATAATAATAATAGTTATTATTGCTATTAAGGTCATTGAGGAAATAGCACTGAGTATGTTCCCTCTGTCCCTCTCAATGAAAACAAACAATGTCCCTAAGAAATCAACTCAAACAAATAAGAACCACAGGTAAACAAAGTCAAAATAAAAACACCGTGTCTGGAACTAAACATCAGAAAGGCTTTCTCTAGAACAGCTCCCTGAGAGAGTTGACACATGGCTAATGACACCACACCACCTGGTGGCCAAGTAAGAATCTGAGGAGTAACCAAGATCACCAAATAAAACACCAAAATCCCCACAGGGGACTGAGTTAAACAGCACTCACTGCGGACTATTCACCTCAATTAAAATATAACACAGGAAGGTTATTTTGTTCATTAACAGGCATTTGAAGATACAACAGGTTTTTACATTTCCTAAGAAATTCTTTTTTCTACCGTGTCTCATGAAGCCAGGCTGGCCTCCAGCTCCTGGGATTACAGGAGTGCCTCACCATGCCCTGTTTTAAATGTTTCTCTATGACACTATCCATAATTCCCTGACAGCTGCTACAGGTCACAAGTGACAGACATCCAGTTCCCAGTGAACACCAGCAGGGCCTGATTCTCAGAAGCAGAGGCTTTAAGCCAACACAGAGAGAACAGAACGGTCAAGTAGCCGCCTCTGAACAGGAGGAGAAAGCGCACAGCATTTACATCCGACCGGAGCAACCTGAAATGAAGAGGGGCTGAGAGGCAGCAGTGTAAAAGAGGACCGAAGACTCGAGGGAGAAAGTCACGGGCTTCAGAGGCAAACCTGTGACTGCCCACACCTCTGACAGTGCCTTCACCTATCACTTTTAGAGCAGAAGGGACACTGGAAAAACTGCATTTCTGGCTTTTTCAAAAACCTCTCATGAACTTGAATTAAGTAAAAAATGCTGGCAGGAGCTAGTAATACCAGCTTGAAAAGCAAGCATGCAACTGGGAAAATGCAGGAAGCACTTAATACAATAAATAAATACGATAATATAGTACATATGATCCGTGTATTTATTCTATAACATGTTGTAAGTCCATTAGCACAGCAAGAAATCTCTTTCCTCCCAATGAACTTCAAAGACAGCCTGGAGGACTACCCAGGTTAGAAATAATGTATTTCCTTAGCATCAAAAAACAAAACAAAAGAAAAAAAAACCCCCGTTCCCTCCAAAAAGAAGTGCCACCAGGACAAAAGGCAAGCTTGAGGCATGCATCTGGGCTAGAGCCACTTAAACACTTAGATGAAGGGGAGGGAGGAGGGAGGGACACACATGCTGGCAGCAGACAGCCATCCTGAGGGAGCTGAGTGAGACGTACATTTGCCTCTGAAACCCTACAAGGGGTCCAGAACCCTGTACCCAAGGACAGAAAGTAGACACACTTTTGCATGCATTGTGAAATACTGATTAATAAAAACTCTCACAAATTAGCTACCAAGAAAGACTCATCAATTCCTAAAAAGTGACTGCTGTTACAGTACAAATTGTTGATAAAAAGACATTAGAAACTTTTGCTTGAAAGGTAAAAAAGAGCCACCTAAGAACCCACACATCAGGGAAGAGATCACACCCAACACACAGATATTAAAAGTAAGAGAGTTTTTCCTATGCAACATCAGTTTGACAAAGGAGTTGAAAGTGTCAGCACAGGGCTGGGAAAAGGATTTACTCAGTTGGTAAGGTGCCCACTGCATGAACATGAGGTCCTGAGTTCAGTCCCTAGCACCCAGGGCAGCACAGGGCAGCCTCAGTAAGTAAGGTGGAGAGCAACTAAGGACACCAGGTGACAACCTTTGGCCTTCACATCCCCCACCCAACACACACACACACACACACACACACACACACACACACGCACGACAAATGTACAATCTCTTATCTGTTTACCTTTTAGCATGCACTGATCTGAGTTTGTGTATATGTAATGGATATGCACGTCTGTGTCCAGGTGCACATTCCAGTGCACAGGTGCGCTTGAAGGCCAGAGGAAGGTGTCAGGTGCCCTCTTCTATCACTTTCTACCTTGTTCCTTTTGAGATAAGGTCTCTCCCTGAACTTGGGCTCATGGTTTTTTTGTTTTGGTTTGTTTGTTTGTTTTGGCTAGGCTAACAGCCAGCAACCCCAGTGATCCCCCTGCTCCACCTCCCACGGTGGCTAGGACTACAAGTTTGTGTAGGATTCAAATTCTAGTCCTCATGTTTGCACAGAAAGGCCTCTTAACCACCAACCCATCTTTCCAGCCTGATTTACTTGATAGACAGACAGACAGACAGACAGACAGACAAAAAGTTGCGACATAAGCACTAGAAAAACTAAATAGCTGAGGATATCCAAAAGAAAAGGGAAGACGGGAAGACGGCATGGCGACAGAGGTATCTGTCAAACTGAAGCTGCTCAGCTCTAGGGTCCAGGATTGTGCAAATCCCATCATGGAAGATGAAGACAGCTCAGCTAAGCAGAGGAGACCTGGAACTGTGGACAGGTTCCTGAAGTCAGAGAGCCCTACTTCAGAACCACCTGGAAAACATGGATTTCAGCCACCAGACCCTGACATATCAAATAAAACCCTCCTGACCTCACTGAAGTTACAGTTACTTCAAAATTAAAAGTAAATATTAAAATGTTGCAACTATTAAAGAAAGTGACGATAAATAAAAAAGTTCTGGGAGAATAAAAAAGATGTCGGAGCTGATAGGGGACATTCTCATTCAAACCACCAAAACTAGGTGTTTAGTGCTCCACCCTCTTACTAATGTGACTCAGCCCTTCCACCCTCTTATTAATGTGACTCAGCCCTTCTTTTGTGGGAGCTCTCATGGCCTCTGACTCAGCTGGAAGCTGATGGCAGACAGGACCTACAGATATGACAACAGTTTAACAACAACAACAAAACCCACATCAGTACAAACAATCCTGGGAGCCACATACACATAGAACTCACAGTGAGAACTCACAGTAAGCTGAAAACCCCCAGCTCTTAGTTTGCAATGACCCAGGGTCAGTGGCCAGCATGTCCACTCTTCACAACTGCCAGGAGAATGAGCAGGCAAAGCCGGAAGAGAAGCTGAGGAGTGGACACAGAAAAGCCTCCCCACGCGGCTGCTGACTCACAACGACCACATGGTCCAGAGCAGCACCCCAGACAGAGCCCCGCACATGCATACTCTCTACACATCAGTTGTGAGGGAACAGCATCTAAGCATGTGAACAAGATTACTGATTTCAAATCTATTGGAGGTCGTAACAGCTAAAGGATTTTTCAAGTGCCCGTGTCAGCTCTTACCTTCTCGCCCGGCTTGGCAGACTGCTGCAATCTCTCATAATCCTTCTTCGTCTCCAAGATCTTTTTCACAAGCCCACCTGTTAAAAATCAGGAGTGTTCAGTTAAGACACATTTTCTACCCCAAGAAGCTACTTATTATTCTTAGACCTCATTGGGAAGGTGGAAAAAATGCTGAATTCTCACCCTTTCTCTTTCCGTGTATCAAAACACCTTCCTACTGTGTGCTAAGAGAAAACACAGTGCCACCTGCTGCTGGCAGAGGCTAGTCACAAAGTGTCATATAGAGGAGTTTTAGAAATAAACAGACTTTCTTCTTCTTCCACGAGTTAAGAAGAAACGTGGATTAACACCCCAAAATGTAACCACCCACTGCGATTCTAATGGTTCCTTGGTGCTGATGCTTCTTTTAGAGTAGACAAGAATACTAAATTTCTTTTAGAACTCTCCCTGGTATAAAAAGCTAGGAAAAAATCATTTTCTTAAAAATACTATTTTACAGTGCTACCCAGGCTGCTGGGGCAGTGTAATAAACAGAAGAAAACCCTGTGAACTACAATGATGGCCAGTGACCATGGTACACCCACCGGGGCAACAGTGGCGCAAATGTTAAGGAGGTAACCAGCCTCTTCCTGCTGAATTTAAGACCCACTCCACAGAAGGAAACGCAAACACAGTACCGTAAATCTGCTCAAGACCCAGTGGTCAAGGAGCTCACAGCCCCAGGAGAGAATGTCTTCTATTCTGCTAAATGGACATAGCATCAAATTGCCCTCTAAATGTGTATCTCTCTACCCACAATTAGTGCAGCCCTCAGACCTCATCAGAGAAGTTTCTTTGTGCAGTAGACGGTGGTTAATGCACAAACGCACGACTTATCAAAATACATTTCATCAAATGTTCAAAGAATTAATAAAATATTATACTTCAAAGTGTTGTTTTTTGGTTTTGCTTTTGCTTTTTTCAGTTGGGGAGGGGTGGTGCATGCCTTTAATCCCAGCACAGAGTGGATCTCTGTGAGTTTGAGGCCAGCCTGGTCTACAAATCGAGTTCCTGGATACCCAGGACTGTTACACAGAGAAACCCTGTCTCAAACAACAACAACAAAAATATTTTTAAACCCAAATATGCCGCAACGAGGCTGAGCAGATTACTTATGATGTAGCCACATGGCGTCCACAGACCACTAGGAAGAGAGACCAAACTGTGCCTCTGTGCTGGAATGAAAGCCAGCAGACTATCAAGTTTAACACAGGGGCCCGCGCGCGTGCGCGCGTGGGCCCACACACACACACACACAAAAATATCACTCATATTTTTACCTATACCTATGGGGGGGGAGAATATAGGGAGAAAGAACAAGGCCTGAAGTCTTATACCTCAGCACTGGGTGGGGAGGTGTACACTTACAATCTCAGCATTCATGAGCAGGCAGGAGGATGGTCAGAAGTGGTCTACAGTGAGTTCTAGGCCTCAAACAACAACAACAAAACAAACAACAAACTTCCACCTCTTGATGCATTTAGCTGTGCACATTTAGCCTTAAAGCCCCGGGAATATTTTATATGAAGAAAAAACCAAAACTGAGGTGGTAGCACATGCTTATAATTCCAGCATTTAGGGGCTGAGGCAGGAGAATGGAGAATTCCAGAAAGCCTGGGCTACACAGCAAACTCTAGTCTCGAAAAAAAAATGTATGTGCATGTATGTATACAGGCATTAATGTCCCGGACAGATAAAACACGATGCCATTGTGACCAGAGCCTAATCTCAAGTCCTGCAGTTCCCTACAGGCACACATGGTGGCAGCAACAGTGCCCCTCCTAGGACACAGCTGGGCACAGGATGGCCTCAGAGTCAGCCCACATCCACATGTTCTCATGTACACTCACCATGCTTCTCCTCATCCTCCAGGTCCCCTGCTGGCACCTGAATAGAAAAGGAGAAAGATCAGCTATGCTGAATTTTCAAAGTCATTAAACAAACAAATGTAAACAAACAAACAAAAAAACTAAAACAATTAGACAACTTACAGAAAAATTAGGGGGAAAAATTGTATCTCATAAATTGAAAAGCCAAAGTGCTTTTACTAAGAACAGGACCCTCTGGTGAACTAACCATCTCAATTTCTGACATTTCTGCAAGCTGAGGGGAGGCTTCCACCACAAACTGCTCATCATCTTCATTGTCAGAATTCTGTGAGTCGATGATCACATTGGAGACAGTTTTACCACTTCCAGACCTGAACAAGAAGAGAGCCATTTACACTGGAAGAGGCCACCAGTTTTATCAGCCCCATGCACCTGAAACATCACACTGCTCTGAAAGAAGCCAGGCTGCCATTGCCACAGACAGGTGAAGGGAAAGCTCCGGAACAGTAGGGAAGAAGAGACCACCACCTTTCACTGGCCAAAGCCTCCACACTGCCAAGAGCTGTAGGCACCCCAGCCCTCTACCCCAGCCCTGCTGTTCCTTCTGCTGGGTCCACAGAGGCTCTTGCCCCCCCCCCTCTTCCCTGACACTGATTCTAAGATAGACACAGACCGTGCCTCTTCACAGGGCAATACCTCTAGGCCCAGCCACCATACCCATTATGTTCAGCTTTGGGATACCTTTTATTTCTAACTTTTATGCAGTTAAGCCTTCAACTATTCCCTTTTATGCTTTGAAAGTCTTCTATCTAGAGGTCAGAGAATCACAACCCAGCACGGGTTGGGCCCATGCATTCTGAGGTATCATGAACATGAGCACACATATTTCTCCCCTTTGCCAGTCTGGAATGCATGCTGCTCTGTGCCTTTAAAGCAATGACCTAACCCACCTTTCTTCAAAAGCAAGTTTTCCCAGGAATACCTCCTACATCCCCGCCTAGTCTCTCAGCACAGGCCCCAGACCCCTGCACCCCACGGCCCACACACTACAGAACACGGGCCCGTCCTCTAGAGCCTCCTGCACACCCACAGACAGGTATCAACCGATCGGCAAATGACACTCCACTCACGGTCTCACCTGTCTCCCACCAGCGTCTCGGTGCTCTCTTGTCGTTTGACCCTGGGAGGGGCTGGTCGCGCACTTCCAGGCCGAGGCATTCTTCTAAGTATCGAAAAGAAAAAACAGGACATGAAACACTCACACACATTTCGAGGTGGACAAAATAAAAGCCTAGGTCATCATTAATACTCATTCCAATGCCACTGTCAGACAAACACTCTGCAGAGGACTATGAACACCCATTAGCACAGCAGAGCTGCCAATCATCAGAGTATGACAGACCTTCGACATTACTAGAGAATCCCCAAACTGCTATAACGCTCCAAACATGGTCATGTAACTCAGGTACAAGAAAACTGTGTACAGATAGTAACTATGACATTGCACAAGTGTTGAATGGCAGCAGAAGTGGCCACACTCCCAAGACTGGGGAAGGACACACCTGAGATTGGAGGAAAGTTCACTGGGGACTTCTGCATTCTCTGACACCTCAGGCTTATCTTGGCCAGTAACTGGTCCAGCTTCTCCTTCTGAACAGGTGAGAATCCAATCAGCAATTCAAAAAGGATGCAATAGTAACAAAGATAAATTTACTCAAGTATAAATACCAACTATTTAAAATACAAGTATTTGAAAAGACATCAGTCAAATGATTGAAAATTTCAATGAACTCTTTTCATCCTACCAGAAGAGGTCTGACATCTAACTGTGGATACTTGGGGGCATGGGCACATGCAAACTGGCCAACTAATCAAAGAGTCAAGGTGACGGGTGGATGGATTCAGTCAGCCACTCAACACAACTGAACTGAACCTGAGGAAGGGAACGGCACACCTCCACAGACAGGTGTCAGTCGCTCAGCAAATCACAGTCCACTCGCATGCTGGGCTCCTCACTCTAACAGCTAACTGACCACACAGGGTGTACAGACATCAGTCAACTCACACATGTGGGGTCCTACAAGTGTGGATGGCTCAGTTATAAACAATGCCGTCACCTAGTACCTTTCATTGTTACACTGATCTGCATTTCTAAATTATCTACAGTGGATGCTATATGCTTTCCATAGTCAGTAAGTAGTTTTGTTTTTATGAGACAAAGGTCTTGCTATGTAGTCCTGAAGGGCCTGGATCTCTCTCTATAGACTAGGATGGCCTCAAACTCATAGAGGTCTACCTGCCTCTGCCTCCTGAATGCTGAGATTAAAAACATGCAGGACCACCTGGCTAAAACAAAGTTTTCTTCATTCTAATAAAAAGATTAAGCCTGCAAGCTACAAGTCCAAACTACTAAGACAGTGGGATTTATTCTACTATTTAAAGTAAAAGAAACATACTCCTTAGAAAACCATAGAGTAGAATTTGAAAATTAGAAATAAATGTGATACTCTGGAAAGAGCCCTGAAGCGTGGCGCTTTTCAAGATAAATACAAACAGGCAGAGGCAGGTGGATCTCTGTGAGTTCAAGGTCAGCCTGGTCTACATAGCGAGTTCCAGGACAGCCAGAGTCACACAGAGAAAGCCTGTCTCAAAAAAAAAATCAAAAACAAAACAAAAAAAAGAAAAAGAAACACAAACATGTATAACCCACATACAAGACTAAAATTTAAAACACAGCAAATTAACATAAATTCAATGTTATATTTCCTTAGTATTTCACTGGTACATTTTTAAAGCACAGAAATGAGAGCCCATGTTGCCATCTGCACATGCATGACCACACCAAGCACATCAGAACTGCTCTCACCTGCGTCACTGGGGGAGTCGCCTAGAAAGGAAAAGCATCAGAAAATTAGCCTTCATGTAGGGAAGCACACGCAGTGAATCACTGAGCAGTCAGAGAAAATACACCTCCAATAACTAGGAACCTGCGGGGACAGGCTCCTCTGGACACTCCTCTACCATGTCCCCCATCGGTCTGCTATGGCCAGTCAGAACCCTAACCCTGCACATTAAAACCAGACTGTGGCCAGGCAGTGTGGCATATACCTTTAATCCTAGCACTTGGGCGGCAGAGGCAGGCGGATCTCTGAGTTCGTGGCCAGTCTGTCTACAGAGTGAGTTCAGAAGAGTCAGGGCTACACAGAGGAACCCTGCCTCGAAAGATCGAGAAGAAAATAAATAAAGAAAAACGGGGGGGGGCGACGGGATGGGACAAAACACAGCCTGTGAAGGAGCCATGCCACAGAGCTAAGTGAAGCAAAGACTGATGTCACAAAGTCATGAGAAACAAGCTGGTGTGGCAGCTTGGGGCCAGCAGGACCAGCAAGCTCAGCCCACCCTAACGGAACTGACTAGACGTCTCCACCAGCTTCCTGCAGCCTAGACTGCACCTTCACCTAGGGTGCTTTCTCTTCAAGTGCTGTGCTCTGGCCACAAGCACAGCCCATTCAGTCAAAAGTACCACAGGACAGAGTCGAAGCCAAAGCTGTGGGCTGGAGATGCAGAGGGTAGCAGAGCTTACCAAGCATCTCTAAGTCCCTAGGTTCCAACCCCAGCATCACCAGACAGCAAAGGTGAAAGCACATAATCCTGTGTCACATTCAGGAACACGTTTACACAACATGTGAGAGCCACGGCACCTCAGCTGGGGAGAGCAATACACATCCACACATGCCCATCTCCACACAAGAGCAGCCTTGCCCTCAAAGGCACAAGCAACAGAGCACCCACACGTGGGTACAGGGGTGATGGCCCCTGGGATCTGGCTCGCACAGGACATCCCTTGAGCGCTACACCAGAGCTCCTAGCCAAGAGTTCTTGGAGACACAGAAAGGGGAGACAGTCTAGGATCCTTTCTCTTGGCCCCAGGAGACCCTAGTATCACAGCACAGAATGGGAGTGGTCAGGGACTAGAGAGAAGAACAGATGAAACAGCAATGGGGACCCAGAACAACAGGCAACAGGCATGAGGGACCCCACCAGAGCCAGCAGCAGGCAAAGACACCCTCAGGTCCTTGCCGGCCCACAGACCTGGTGTCTCCTGCAGGCTGTGCTATCGCCTCTGCTCTGCCCTCCAAGCCTAAATCAACACTTCCCAGCTCGGAGCTCCCCTGGACACCCTCCTGTCAGGATGGCCGGTAGGCTATCCTGTGTCCCAGCCCGCCCTCAGGCCCTCTCCCCACTCCTCCCATCCTCGCCTGTGCAGCGGTTTTCCCCACGTTTGCAGCTCCTGTGCCGACACCAGGGCAGGTGGCCTGTAGCCCCAGTCTCCCATGCAGTTCCTGCCTTGGCCCTGACATACCGTCGCTCTCAGACAAATACTCTGTTCAAACTAGTTGACAACCATTACCCTCACCTGGCTGCACCCACCATGCCAGACCAGCACAAGCCCAACCTGCTGGAGGCTCCCAGGCTTTGGGAGCAGACTGAGGGGTGATTCTACTGCAGCCCTTCAAAAGGTGCATCTGGATACAGGAGGCACCACAGACAGGACCAAGCAGCAGCCACATTTTTGGCTATCTAAAATCCTCCAAACGGGGTGGCCGGCAGGGCTCTGACCAGTGACCCTGGAATCTGTTCAGGGATCATTCTTGAAACCCCTGGCATCACAAAAGCTTCACACTAGTCCCAGGAGTGTCTTGCCTGTGCTGCCAAGCAATGACCTTATTTTATGGGAAAGACAGGCGTGACTCCCCCTTGCCATATCAGGGTATACTCAGCCCTGGCCTCGCCCTGAGAGGACACTGGCGCCTGGCAGCTAGCTTCCTCTATGTGGCTTAGTCTCCTCCCACCAAAAGCTGTGAAGGGGTCATTCTTACCTTTCTGTTTTACTGCTGGCTCTGGCTCAGCACTCTCCCGCCACAGACTAGCTGAGTTATCATCTGAAATACTAGTTCAGTTAGTGTGGCTTCTCAGATCCTGACATAAGAGTTCAATTGGGCACGAGACTGCGTCCTGAAGGGCCTGTGACTGATGGCCTGCCCAGCACCTACATATCTATTCCCACACTGCCACATGCCAAGGATGACAAGGGGAGTTTTTGAGAACCTGTGGTTCTGGGGTAGACATGGGAGGAGAATACCAGACATGCGCCTGGCCCAGATCTCAGGCCGGCTGGGATCAGGGACCTCCCCAGCCAGGCAGACTGGCCCTACCTCCCCATCCTAGAACCAGTTATACAAGCTCCCACCAGCCAGGCCTGAGAGCCAAGCTTCATACAGTTGGCACATCAGGAAAGAAAGAGAAAAGGGAAAATACTTTTGTCGTGGAACACATCCCTCAAGACATTAGAGTCCCAAATACTGCCTGCTGATTACTAGTGTGCAAGTCTTAAAAATAGAAAAAAGTTCATAATGTGGGGTAAACAAAATACTTCCCATATTAAAAGCAAAAGGGTAAGAGAGGGGCTCACTGAGCAGGCTGTGCATGGCAAGCAGGCCTAACTCTGAAACTGACCCATCAACTCAAGGGCCCGGGAAAACAGTCTGTTTCCTGAAACCTAACCACAATCTGCCATTAACTGTCAAATGGCCACTCTAGTTAGGAAGAACTACATAAAGTAGTGGTATGGGGCTTTATAAGGAAATTTCTCTTCAATTTATAAAAATACTGGCCTAACAGTCTGCAAGAAGAAACCAAGTACTGCGAGTGTTTTATAGAGAACAGTCAAAGAATGAGATTCTAAAATCTAAGAGCAAGCAAGTCTGCAGCTGCGGGAACCACCAACTACACAAGCACCACTAAGCCCAAGCTGTCCCCCTGCCCTTGTAAGCGCCAAGCACTTCTGTTCTACAAAACCCAGCACCACAGTGAAAAGTACAATACAGCACTGCCTGTCTGTGGGAAGCCCACGGCACTGGTGCGTCATTCCTGGCCGTCTGCTTTATCAGTTCATTGACTGGGGAGCAGTGGTGGGATCCAAGCCTGGCCTGGTCTGGCACCTTCTAGACCAGCATCCTACCACTGAGCTATATACCTCTTAGCTCAGATACATCATATAATTTTACCCTTCTCAAGCTCTACTGGTTTTGTTTTGTTGAGTTTTGTTTGTTTGCTTTTAGTTTTGATGGAGCGAGGTTATTTCATTTTGTTTTGTTTGATGCAGCCCAGGTTGACCCTGAACTCAACATGCAGCCAAGGCTAGCCTTGAACTCCAGATCCTCCTGCCTCCCCAAACCAAGTGATGGGATTACAAGCATTCACCACCATTATGCTTGACTTCACTGGTCCTCTTTCTAACTTTAAATTGTAATTCTTTTACAATATTTTTACTTATTAATATGATTGAGAGGATGTGATCCATGGGTGTGGGAAGCACATGGAAGTCACAGACAACCTTATGGAGTCAGCTCTTTCCACTGGTCCTGAGGACCGAACTCCAGTCAGGCCTCCACTGAGCTGCACTCTCCGGGTACTGGAGGCAGTCTTTACTACTCTGGTGTTGTTAGTGCTTTTGCCCAGTGTTCGCCAGCAGGGCAGGGCTGCTGTTACATCTGATTGCATAACCACATTTTCAAACAGTGGGAAATAGTTTTTTAAAAAATCAGAACATGAGCCGGGCGGTGGTGGCGCACGCCTTTAATCCCAGCACTTGGGAGGCAGAGGCAGGCGGATCTCTGTGAGTTCGAGGCCGGGCTGGACCGATAGCCTCCGAAACAATACAGAGAAACCCTGTCTCAAAAAAACAAAAAAAAAAAAAAAAAAAAAAAAAATCAGAACATGACTTGGATTTTAAATAATAATCAGAAAATAATTCTGTCCAATGTTGTTATGTCAAAGGATGTCTATTTTGTTTTATTGCATTTGGGGGCTGCACACTGAACTTTTACAGAAAATTATCAAGATGTCTTTATCATCTGCTATAATCATTCCTAAAAATCCACGGCTAGGGCAAAGCAAGCATAAAGCGTTTAAACTTCACTGAAGCTTAGGCCCTGGGTGAGCTGCACTGCCGTACTTTGCTGTAGTTTTGATAACAGCAATAAAACAAATTGAGTGAGGTATAGTGAGCAGAATAAACAATGGCTTAATGCACCAGAAAAGCCAGGAAATGTCCAACTAGAGAGACCAGCACACACAGTGCAAGCTCACATTACAGCAACCATGTAGGCAGGAAGTAGGGTTGAAGGGACATGGGCAGACTCCTGGTGAGTTCAACACACCTGAAAAATCCAAATGGGTACAAAACCCATGCACTCTCTTCTGGCAACCCACAGCAGAACCTGCCATATGCAAGGCCAGGCCAGCCAGGAGATGGCTGCTTTCTTTGAAAACGCAAGTCAAGAATGATGCACACCTGCACACCTGCACACCTGCACACCTGCACACCTACACACCTGCACACCTGCACACCTGCACACCTGCCATCCCAGCTCCTGCAGGCAGAGACAGAAGGATCTTGAGTCCCCAGCCAGCCTGGGCTACATACGTAGTGAGACCCTATCTCAAAAAGAAAACGAGAAAGGACAGGTTCCTCTCTGAAGAACTAGGAACGAACAGCTGTCAGAGAGAAAGGACCCTTCAGATGACACTGGGACATTGGATCTGGAAAGCATACTCAAGCAAGGCACTGAAGAACTGACAGCTGCCGGTAAATTCTCAATTCCCAAACAGCTATGCTGGGAGACAATGCTAGTGACTGTGACAGCAACCAGGTAGGTAGCATAGAGCTAGTTCCTGGCTGAGGCCTGTGCAAGCAGCAGGGCAGATGGGTAGGGGAAGAGATGTCTAGGGCACTCCCAAGCCAGGACTCTGCTCCTGACCACTGTTCCCTAAATCCACAGTGTCAGCCCTACCACCTAGGGGCAGCATAGGAGCCGTACCCTGACTACCCCACTAGGGGGAGGTACAGGAGTAACACTCACCCTACCAGGGGGCATCAGGTTTTACTCTAAGCTACTGAAAACCCAATGGTACAGTTTGCACTTCTTAAGGACAGAACTTATGTTTTCACACCTGTAGATAAGATTTATAAACTGTTCAATATAAGCCTAAGAATGGCTTCAATTTATTTTACATCAATGGTCGCACTGGGCTGTCAGTTTCAAATAGACTACATCCGCTCACTCTCAGAGCAGCTATCTCCACAGCCACATACAATGAAGAATACAAGGGCTCAAGAACACGGCTCAGGGAACCACCTGAAAGCTTGCTCCAGGCCAGGAGGGGTAAGCGGAACAGGTGGGAGTCATCCGCTGGTCTTGGATGGGAAGTCACAGTTAGACAGGCAAAGACACCCTCCCAGCTCTCATCACCACCTCTACAGATGGGAAACGCTCTCCTTAAAATAAAACGTATATCACAAGATAGGGTTGAAGGGTTACAGGTCCACAGTGTCAGTAGGAACACTGACTGCTCCAGTTAAAAGCCTTGTGTCTGACCAACCAAGACTGACAGCCTAGAGAAGCCATGTACAGAGCTGGACTGGAAACAAGGCAGCCACAGACAACTTTCTCATGGCATCTCCTCACCAATAAGGGAACAGAATGGTTCAAACATCCCTTTTAAAGATCTGAGTTCCAGAAGGACCCCATGCACAGATCCGACCTGCCATCATTCTAGGTGGTTTCAGAGTTTTACTGTTTGCTGTGCAGCATAGGAGTCTGAGTCTGAAGCCCCAGAACCTACATACAAAAGCCAGGGAGGGTGGCATGTTCCCATAATCCCAGCACTGGGGAAGTGGACACAGGACAACACCAGCAGCCTGCTGGCCAACCAGCCTAAAAGAAATGAAGACCCTGTCTCAGAAACAAGGGAGCTGGAGAGTGGCTCAGCAGTTAAGAGCACTGACTGCTCTTCAGAGGACCCAGGTTCAATGTCCAGCACCCACATGGCAGCTCACAACTATCTGTATCTCCCTCCAATTCCAGGGGATCCGACAACCCTCACACAGATACACATGCCAGCAAAACACCAATGCACATAAAAATAAAAATAAATAAATAAAAACATGGGAAAAATCAAAGCTATACAAAATCTGGTAGATACAAGGCAGGTTAAACCCGGAAAAAAATTTATCTTCCTCTAAAATCAAAATTAGAGTCTTATTTTTCCTTGCATGCAACTCGAGAATTCTCTTTCTAAAGAATGTGGTCTACAGCTACAGGAAACTAGAGTGTCTGGCTGACAGTGAGGGTGGCCCTGCACACTTCTTCTCCTCTCCGGCTTTTCTGTAACGACTGTCACAATATGCCATGGACAACCTTGGGAGTCAGTTCGCTCCTTGTACCACGTGGGTCCCAGGAATCAAACTCAGGTTCCAGGACTGGCCGAAGGCATCTTTACCTGCTGAGCCATCTCACTGACCCACTTTTTAAAGCCTTAATGGTGGAGAACTCTGAATGAATGTATTTTTATACCCGATGGGGATATTAAATGTACTCCTCTATGGAGCAATCCACGTTATCTTACTGCACATCAGTGTCAAAACGAGCAAGAGTAGGCAGTGGGGCGCACACCTTTAGTCCCAGCACTCAGGAGGTACAGGTAGGTAGATCTCTCTGAGTTTGAGGCCAGCCTGGTCTACAGAGAGAATTCTGGGACATCCAGGGCTACATAGAGAAACCCTGTCTAAAAAAAAAAAAAAAAAGGAACAAAATGTCTTGACTTACATGTTATGCACATACATCATGCCTGTCAAACACGTGTAATAGTATGTACATATAATATACAAAAAGGCATGTAGCTATGTGTGGCACACATCTGTAATCCCAGCATCTAAGACAGGAAGATCACTGTGAGTTTGAGACCAGCTTGGGCTACAGAATGAGATGCTGTCCCAAAAGAAGAAAAAAATTGGGGGGTGGGGCTTAAAGACTTACTTCATGCCGATTTAATAAAATTATCACATAACTTAGCAAATTAAATCAAACTGGATGGTAAGTCATATCTGATCCTCAGTATACGGGGGAAAATATGTTGAGCATTAAAATGCTTAGAATAAAAATAATTCATAGCTCACTGACATGTAATATTCTGTATCAAAATCAGGAAGAATTTAAACTGAAGGATAGTTTCTCTTAACAGTGCCACAGACATGAAACTATTTCGTATCAAAACCAGAGGAGTCAAACTGAAGGATGCATTTTCTTACCTATTTCTGAAGCTGTCGTTTCCTGATCTGGTTCGTCATTTAGTCCCGACACTATGGAGTCTAAAATCTTAGCTGAAATATTATCCTCTTTCCTTCCTGACATAAAACAGTTAACAGCAGATTAAAATGCTGTAAGGCATTTTGTATTTGGGCTGCTTTAGTTAGGGTTTACAGGGCCAACTACCAAAGTCACCAACAAACTGCCTTGTCCAGTCAGTACTCAACTCTCAGCTGGCCTAGGCCACCCCTTAGGAGACTGGACATGATGCCCTCTCTCCTCTCCATCATGTCCTTCCTTTGACATTCAGGACACCCTCTCCAACTTTTCCTCTGATCCATCTTCCAGTATGAGTCTTGGCAGGTGCTCTGTTCCTCCAGCATCTAGGCTCATGACCATTTAAAGGCCACACTGGCCATCACTGCAGACTAAGACCACTCATCTGCAGTCTCCTGCTTCTGTGACTCTCCCTCCCCATGCCTAAATGACTCGCAGTCTGTGCGTACACACATGCGCACCTCTGCTTGCTTCAGACATCTCCAACTTGAATGTCCCAGAGTTCTTGCAATACCACATAACCCGCCAACCAGCACCTCCGTCCCACATTTCCCAGGTGGGTCTCCCCTTTGAGTCTTTTCTTCCAGGCTGGTGACAAACAATCCGTCGTCTGTACTGCCAAATCCCTAACTCCCGCCTGCTCCCACCATGGCTCGGAGGCTGAGCTACCATTATTTGTCATCTTCACACACCACCACCTCTCAATGCTACAAACTCTCAACATCTTCCAGCCTCCACTCCCACCCTCCAGGGTCAAATCTCAGCTCTACCCTGTGTAAAATCCAAGGCCTTCTGCACACACCTGCAGACCACACAGCCAAGAAGACAGTTTCTCAGGGCCCTTCTCCAACCACTGTCCCTCTCTCCACCCTAGTCCACAGCTGGGCTTCTACCACGCATCCGAACAAGCCTGCAGCGGCTCACAGTCCCTCCTCCAGGCCGGCTACAGGGTCTCTTTCTCCCTAGCAGCTTGGGAGCTGATGCCCCCGCTTACTGAGGCTCTTCTTGCCTGAGTCCCTCATTGCTGCTTCTCTTGGATTCATTTTTCTTCACTTACACAGGTTTGTACTCCAGCAGTGTCTATACTTTGGATTCTGCCCAGGAAAGAAAGGAAGGTTCAAATGGGCACTTCAGTCCATGGCTGACATGGAGCAGGATGCGGCAGCTCAATGTGGCAGCCCTGACAGAGCCCACGGTCCTTTCCCATCTACTCCAGAGATGAGGCTTGACGTCACACAGGAGCAAGCACTGAGTGGCCACCCTCCATGGTCAGAGATCACCCAGGAGCAAAAGATCAGACACTGACTAGTTCCACTCACAGACACCCACTCCCCAGCCTCACTACTGCTTGAGTGATCTTACCAAGCTGCTTCATGCTATGGTCCTTCTTAGCTTTACGGTAGGAAGCGTTATGTTCTTTTTCAGGGGTAAGACTATTTTCACTGGCTCTAGAATCCCTTCTTCCTGACATGAAATTGCACAATGGAAATAAGTGTTAAACTTAGGAATGCTGCAGTTACCAAGCAAAGGAACTAAGATGAATTCAGTAAGTTCTGAATATACAGATATGAGTATATATGTGTATGTTAGAAATATATAAAATATGAGCTATTTCTGAGTAAGTAAAAGTGTCATATTCTCATATGTCTCTTAAGTGCTATGGTGATTCCAGAAGAGTCTTAAGAGTCTACTCATGTCTCAATCCCTTGTTCTTCAGAGTGGATACAAGGCTCACCCTGTGAACCAAACACCCAAGCCCTGTGTCATGGGCACTTCAGGGTCAGGACATTTGCTCAAATGATGACCCACTCAAGAAAGGCAAACTATCTGGTGTGGTGCCAGCCCTGCTGAGGGAAGGGCCTCTGGTGAATCAGTGCCTGGCTAGTGAGGCTGGGAAAAGAAAAGTTTACCGAGCTGCCAACTCAGTGAGGTTCAGAGTCAGAATTCTTGCAAGTCCCTGGTGGAATATTCTTTTGAGGATCACAGAAGAGAAAGAGGCGACACAGAGAAGGGCGATAGTGTCACAAAGCTCCCACAAACTAGCAAGAATTAGAATAGAGGGTGTGATAATGCACACTTACAATCTCTGCTCTCAGGAGGCTGAGGCAGCCTGCTGGACTACAAAGTGTGTTCAAGGTTGCCTACACTATAAGACCCTGTTTCAGACAAAACCACCAAGAAAAAGCAGGACGAGGAGGAAAACAGGGTCCCCAGAAATAAAACAACACAAGGTACCAACCATCACCTCAACTAGAAGACACCCAGCACACCACACACACAGCCAGGCCTTCCCAGATTACGGAAAACACAGTCAACACAAGTCATGACAAGTTTGTCTACTTAAGGTAGATATAAGGGATAAAGGGATTTAAATTCATTTATCTGAAAGAAATTTAACTAGAAGAGAAAACAAAATACAACACCCCAGGCATGGTGGTGCACATCTTTAATCCCAGCACTCAGGAGGCAGTAGCAGAGGAATATCTGAGTTCAAGGTCAGCCAGGGCTATATGGTGAGACTTGGTCTTAAAAAAACTATTTTTTACTCTGTAAAGATAAACAAATCAAAACAGCATAATTAAAATACAACTTCTTTAAAAAGGACAGCAGCAGAAGGCAGGCAACAGAAGACATGGTGTCCCAGAGACCAGGGAAGCGCAGGTCACCAGGACAATCCAGAGCCTCAGCTTATACCATGAACTACAAAAAGCAGTTGATTTAAAAGCCTACATAATAAAAATGTCTGATAAGACCAATCTTCAGGTCTCCAATCTCCAGACACACCACCAAAAACCACAAGTAGCTAAAATATTACGTGTTCAGGCAATTCAGAAGCCAAGTGGAAAAGAACATTTAAACACTGCAGACATCCTAACAAGGGGCGTGTGAAATAAGCACCACAACTGGACTCCACAGCAGTCAGGCAGAGAAACAGGTGCATCGGAGCAACCCAAAACTGTTGACACAGGGAAATGCAGTTCCTGTAGGAATCACATGCTGACATCTGTGACATCTGGGGAGCTTTGAAACACAGGGAAGGGATGGGATGAGGTGTCCATGGAGCCCTGAGGCTCAGGCCTAACATCACCCTTGCCTTATGCCAGCAACCGTTCCTGTGGGCTTCTCCCACAGATGGCACACACAGGAAAAGGCTTTTTGACATAAAATGTTACCACAGCATCACAAGCTAGGCAAGGAGTCGTTACTGAATAAAAAACCCCATCTGCCATACTCCTGCCTCTTATGACATCACAGGTTAGGAAGAGGGTAATTCTTCCAAAACCACTACTGCTCAACAAAGCCACTCCGTACTTGAGTGAAGTTAGGAAGCCTCCAACACTAGCAGCTGTCCCAGTATCCCCAAGCTCTCCTGACCTGTCTGCTGGTCTGCTGAGCAAATCCCAGGCCAGGTCTGTGAGCTTAGCTTTCAACATGATTCCTTCTTAAGAGCAACAACCCCTGGTGTCTGTGTCTGATCTGCAACAGGGCTCAACTCTTTCTATCACAGCAGAGGAGCCAATGAGACTGAGATGACTGACAAGTCATTCTGAAAGGAAACTCAATGCATCCTTTAGACTTCAACAGGTTCTCCTGTGCTGGGTGCCATATATATATATACACACACATACATATATACACGGCCCTTTGTGAATATGTGCAGAAGTCACAATCTCCAGCTTCAGAGTCCACCAATCCACCCACTCCCAGGTGTTACAGTGCTGTGCTCCCCAAGATTCCCTTCTACTACACTCTGGCCACACATAAAGCCCTCCTCCATCTCAGCTACACGCACAGGCAGCTTTGCAGTACCTTCCAGTGAGGTCTTAGATCTCCGTTTTGATGTTTTTGATGTCAAGGACCTGGATGCTCCCACAGAAGCCTCAGCCTTAAAGAGAAGAAAGAGTTACTTGGCACATTGCACATCGAATCCATCAGAACTTACTTTTCATGCTCTGCTGGAAGAGTGTAACAGGATACATCCATTGGCTTGAGGGACCATACCAGCCCCATGTGACTACACCCTAAAACCTGAGTAAGACATAGAGGACATCAAATCTCCTCGCCTTCCATTTAGATCCCTCTGTGCCACTTTACTGAGAGAAACACTGTGAGATGTGCCTATGAGGAGCCTATCTCTGTTGCCACATAGTCCTAGGCTGAAGGACAAGACGCCTGTCGCTGCTCCCTCAGATGGTCTGGGAGCAAGTCTGCGGGGCACTCTCTGGATTGCTGACCTATGTGTACAGTGCCATCCCTGGAAGGTGGACCCAGACTATAGAGAAGCAGTTGACTCACAGCCTGAGAGTGAGGCCGTGTACAGTGCTCCTTTATGCTCTCTGCTTCAGGAAGCCTCCAGGCTTCCTCTGATGACAGACTGTGGTGTGCAAGTATAGGCCAAGGAACCCTCTACCTCCCCCAGGTTGGTTGGATCAGTGTTTTATCATGGCGCGAGAGAAGCAAACACACACACAGAAAGAAAGCCTGTTTTTTAAACTTTACCTCCATCTCTGCTTTGGCATCTTTGAAAGTTCCATCTGACTTTTTAGACATCTCTCCTGAGCTTGCTGACTATAAAAAGAAAAAGAAGAATACTTTTTACACTTTAGAATTGCTCAAATCTGTAAAATTAACAATGAAGACCACACAGATACAGTACATGACACCGAAGAACCAACAAGACAACCTCTCACACAGGGGCACATTGCCACTCCAGATCTGAGAGCCATGGGACTCTGCCTAGACGCCCCAAGTCTTCCAAGCAGAGAAGCATTGGACAGCAGTGTCCCTGCCTACCTATCTCAGTTTGCCTTCCGGCATCCCAGATACTTCATAGGCTGCTATGAACTGATCAACATCATCCAAAGATTCAACATCGGAAAAGCCGACTATCCCTTGCCTGGACGCTTTATTCACTCCTTCGCCTAAGATATGCCTACTGTGTGCCAGCACTCATTAGACTAGGAATTTAACAGTGAACATTAGTAACACTCAGAGTATGTGCTTAAAGGTATTTTAAAATGTTCAAAAGCTTTCTGAATAACGCTGAGTTAAATGGCTGAACTACTACTACTAAGTGACAAAAACATCTCACATTTTTAAGAACTAGGCCAGTAAGATGGTTCAGAGTATAAAAGCATTTTTCATGCAAATCCAGCACCCTAAGTTAGATCTCCAGAACCTAGCACAAAGGTTAGGAGAGCAGACTCCACAAAGCTGTCCTCTGGCTCCACACTGTGGCATGCACACACCACATCTGCACACACTTCATGCACCCATACATAACAATTAATTAATCAATTAATTAATTAGTTTAAGATACCTGGCAAGGAACTAGTATCTCCTTGAGTACTGAAAGGAACCAAAGACAGCCACAACTCACAGTTGCAAATTTTCCAGGATGACAGGTTCAGGAGCAGAAGACATGGCTCAGAGGTTAAGAGTCCCTGCTAACTCCTGCAGAGATGCAGAGTTCGATTCTCAGCACCCACACATCAGGCAGCTCACAACCACCTATGCGTCCAGCATACATGGCATATTCACACAAATTCTAAAAAATTAAAAATAAAAACTAAGTCCTTAAAAAAGCAAAAGTAGGACAGATGCTATGTTAGAGAGCACGCCACACTCTCCAAGTAGGCCTCGGGGCTGGGGGGATTATGAGTGCTGGCTCCCCTGCAGAGGACGTGGGTTCAATTCCCAGCATCCACGCAGCAGCTCAGAACCTCCGGTAACTCCAGCACCAGGGAAGTGATGTCCTCTCGAGGCCCCAGAGGCTCCTGCACATACATGGTACACACAAACTCATTCACACATAAACCTAAAAAGAGCAAACAAATCTTAAAGAAAGAAGGAAGTCTTGACCATGACCATGCCTTTTTCTCTGGCTTGTCTGGATCTCTGCTTTTCTCCCTGTCAGGGTCACGGGAATGTTCCCCATTCTTCGCTTTCCGCCGCTCCCGGTCTTTTCCTTTGTCACGGTCTCGGTCCTTCGGCCTCTCCTTTTCTTTCCCACCCTCGCTCCTCCTGTCCCTCTCCTTGTCCCTTTCTGCCTCTCTGTCGCGGTCTTTGTTGCTTCTGTCCCTGTCCTGCTTGGTGCGCGTTCTGGCTTTCTCTCGCTCTCCCTCTCTGTTTTTGTCCTTCTCAGGGTCTCTGTGCCGGTCTCTGTCGGGCTCCCTCGCCTTCTCCTTGTCCCTCTCCTTGTCCCTGGGTTTGTTTTCCTCTTTCAGGTCTTCCTTCGGTTTGTGCTCTGCACTTGTGCTTCTCTCCTTCACCTCAGAGCTTCTTTTATCCTGAAGAAAAGCACACACAAGGGACATCATTCCTCACATTCTCTTAAATTATAGAGACTTCAGTTTCAAAGGCGCCAGCCCACAACTCACCTCTTTCTGAGTCCTGGACTCTTCTTCCTTCACACTCTTGTTGTCAGAATCATGTGCTTTGGAGGTCCGTAAGGCCCGTCCTCGAGAGTCCCCCTTCTCCCCAGATAAGACTCTCTTCACTGCCTCATCACTGGAGAGCTTGTTGGTCATGTCAGGGAAGACGAAATGAAGTTAACACATACAACCAATGAAAATGGAGCATTCAAGGGCAGTTCACTAAACAGATTTTCTTCCTACCATAAAGGAAAATATTAGTGACAAAGCACCACGTTTGACAGCCATTACTAATGACAGCCCAGCTGATAATCCTGCCACCCCGCTACCAAACCATCGGTGTAGACCTGAGTGACTCCAGTAACCCACAGAGCACTACAAATGTCTTCAAACAGAACCCTAGGATCTAATCCCCACACATCTACTAGTACAGCTATTACAAAGGAGGTTTTAAAATTTAAGTATGAGGAGGGAAACGTAGAGCCTGTGAGTCACTGGGGACACAGAGCAGTGCCACCCTCCAGGAAACAAAATGGCGCTCCTCACAAGCAGACACAGAACAACCAGCATGACCCAGCCACCACCCTCCTATGTTCACAAGAGAATTGAAAACTGGTCTAAAGACACAGATCCACTCTGCACTCAAAGAAACACTGTTTGTGACAGCCAGCACGTGGAAGTAACACAGACGTACCTTCACAGACAAGCGGACAATGTAGTCTACCCACACAGCAGAGTACTGGTAACTGAGCGGGAGGAAACTGACCCCTGATGCACCATGGATGAACTCTGAGGACACCATGCTAGTGAAAGGACTAATACAACCACATTCGTGAGGTACGTGGACAGTCACACTCACAGTGATAGAGGGGTCAGCTGTCACTGGGATGGGAGGAGCAAGAGAGTACTCTCTTACCTGATGGGTACAGAATGTTCGTTTTACAAATGAAGAGTGGACAAGTGATGACCACTAATGTATTCAAACTATGAAACTGTATGCCCACTGGGAGGTTTGACACAACAGAAAACTATCTCAAGTCCCATCAAAAGCAGAGTCTGGCTCCTGCATCTCTCACAGCCATCCAGGGTAGTGGACAGTGCTCTGTAGGCAGACTTTTCTGTCACGCCAGCCAATTCCCAAATAACCACAGCTCTCGGCAGAGGACTGCTCTCTCACATACCTGCTCTACCTGCTCCATGAGCATGGACTAGGAAAGCGTTTCACACCAGCTCTGTCTGTCCAGGACCAGCCGCCTGCCAGGAAGGGCTTCAAAGGCAGGCTCCACCTACCTTGTTGAGGCAGCACTTGCCAATCAACTGAAGCAGCTCGTTGGTCTTCTCAGGTTCATGCCCGGCCACGATTCTAGCTGGTTTTGCTGACAAGGGTTCTCCCGAGACCATCATGACCACATCTATGGCCTTCTGTAGGAAGCTAATTTTTGCATCTTTATCCTGAAATATTTCCATGTAAGAGACAAATATTAAAATAAATACTTTGGGGCTGGAGAAATGGCTCAGTAATCAAAAGTGTACACTGCTCTTACAGAGGACCCGAGTTTCAGTTCCCAGCACCCACATCAGGTGACTCACAACCACCTGTAACTCCAGCTCCAGAGGAGCTGACATCCTCTTCTGAATTCCACGGGCACTGCACTCACACTCACACACACACACACACACACACACACACACACACACACACACACACTCTCTCTCTCTCTCTCTCTCTCTCTCTCTCTCTCTCACTTTTGGTTTTTTTTTTTAAAAAGAAGCCATGAACTTGACAGAAGACAGTGTAGGGAGCACCAGTGGAGTTGGGAGTTGGAGGGAGGCAGTGGTGCATGGATATGATCAAAACACTCTGCATAACCATATGAAGTTTTAAAAAAGTCTTTTGGGTTGGAGAGATGGCTCAGTGGTTAAGAGCTATAGCTGTTCTTCCAGAGGTCCTGAGTTCAATTCCCAGCAACCACATGGTGGCTCACAACCATCTATAGTGAGATCTGGCCTGCAGGCAGACAAGCAGGCAGAACACTGTACACATAATAAATAAATAAATCTTTTTAAAAAGTCTTTTAAAATACAAGCTCGATTTTTAAGTAAATAACTTGGAGTTTGTACTGCTTTTCAATAGACAAATTTAACATAGCACGTAGTTGCCACAGGTGAGAAAATGAAACAAGACAGGGTATACATAACTCAAAATCAATCAGCCTTGCATCCCACCCATTTATCAGCACAGGCATGATACACACAACAATGTGCTGCCTGTAAAACATACTCTGTTCCTGAAGGCAAGGGTGTGGAGTAAAGGAACTCACAGGAGAACCTACCTTGACATTATCTGACTTCATCTCGGCATCTGTGTAGAGGCCCTTCATGAAGCCAGTTATCCTAATCACCTGCAGAAGACAGAGGAGACATCAAACACACCTCACTGGTCAGCCCCTTCATCGACCTCATCCACTGAACCCCACTCTCAGGAGAGGTAAAAACCCAGCCACACTTGCAGCTCTAATTGATTGATCCCCTTCCTTAACAAACATTTGATGCTATTAAATGTGGGGCCCGGGATTCAAAGAACAACCAGTTATGAAAACAGCAAAGACTACCAACACGGAGCAGGTGCTGCGAAGTTCACACTAGGGGGTGGTAGGACCAAGAGGATAGCTTCCACTGAGGCCAGAGACTGACAAGGAAGAGCTGGGAAATACACACTAAAAAGAAAACAAACACCAGGTCCAGGCTGACAGGTTCCATCCGAGGAACCAAAGTTACAGAGGGTGGCAGAGTCTGAGGCCACTGTAACACCAGGCCTGACTCCAGTCCCTCTGCAGCAGCACAAACTGAAGCACTCCAAGGAGACACAGTTTTTATATGGCAGAGGACCTGACCACACAACCCTTCACCAGGGCACTCAGACCAAGTTGGGGGAATGGACTCCAGAAAGGAGTTACTCAGTACTCAGTACTCAGTAAAGAGGTACTCAGTAAGGACATGTATGAGTAGGCAAATGGTACACAGTGACACGTTACCAGGAGGTAGGTTTAAAATATCACCAGCAAGACAGCCCCATGTGAATGCCACCTCCTCCTCTGGGATGGGGCTGCAGCTACTCTGGCTGCATCATGCTAGTTATTAATTAATCCAGAAGAGTCCATCTCACAGCAAATTTCAGGAGAGCCATATTACTCAGGTGGGCTGGGCTTGTGCTGGATCATTTCTGAGAAGACAGCTGGCACGTGGACCACCAGGGCATCCTGATCTAAAGTTTAGAGAAGACAGCTGGAACATGGACCACCAGAGCATCCTGATCTAAAGTTTAGAGAAGACAGCTGGAACATGGACCACCAGAGCATCCTGATCTAAGCTTTAGAGAAGACAGCTGGAACATGGACCACCAGAGCATCCTGATCTAACATCACTGAAACTTCCTTTGCTCAGATTTTCCCAGGACAATGACAGGTTAAATTGTGCACAGCAAGTGTGACAAGGGACATTCATGTCACAGAACGGAGGCTTACTTAATAAAGAAACAGTCAGCTAGCTGTAGCTAACCCATGAAGGTGACTTGAGTGCAATAGTCAGGGAAAAGAAAAATCCTCCAGAAGGCTCTCCACCTGTGACCCGAAAATCCTTCCAAGTACGTCAATTCTGACAAGGAGACGACAGCTAGTGTGCCTATCTTTATACCAGAACATACCGGCTTCACCACTGGACCCAGTGAAGTCTAGAAGAAAAGCAGACCTTATCTGTCCACTTCCACTTCAGTGCTCCTCCTGACTCCCACGAGCCCCCCACTCCATTCCTGAGAGACTTCAGGAGGAAGTGCACCCCCAGTAAGCCATGGGCTGATGGTACAGAAGAAAAGCCCAGGCTCAGCAGTCCCCATTGTGACCGGCCAGTGCCACGCTGGCTAGCACTCCCTGGCTCCTTCGTGTTGGAGGGCAGCAACTGTCCGCTTCCTGGGGCTCCACACAGCGAATCCCTTCCTCAAACCTTCCAGGATAGGATGCAAGTGTCTCACAGTCTGGGAGGGGAGACTACCAGTCCCTTGGGATGGGGGTGGATTCCAGAGCGTTCCTGGAGACACCTAAGACCGCTAGCCGACAGGGCCACATTCCTCGACAGCAGCTATTACAAGCTAAGGCAGATGTGCCAAAATGAGTAAGCGAAGGGTGGACTGAGGAGCTCAACCTGCTGAGGGACAGCACAGGGGAGACCTTGAGCTCTGGAGACTAAGTCCCAACAACACCCTAAGTTCCAGAGACTCTCTGGAGTACCATGGCAATTGTGCTCACCCCCTGCAGTGACACTCTGGAATGACCAGGAGCCCTGACAGGCTCCACACAACTGAGACTGTTGTGCAATGCTATGCGCCTCATCCAGTGTAGCGCCCTGCAGATCCGCTAACAAGTGTAAAGCATGCCCTAAAGAGACACGATAGTAACTGGGAAAAAATATGAATGCTTTGTAAGGGAGCCCAGAAGCTTCCTTGTAAGAGGTGGTAAAGTAAGGCATGTCCCAAGACCTATAGGCCTGGGTCCCCAACATGGAAGGCACACTGGCCCTAGCCAAGCTCTTAATCAGGCCCAAACAAGGACCTCCAACCTACCCAGGCCTCAGCTATAAGCAGAGCCCAATTCCAGGCCTCCAACATACACTCCAGCTCATAACAGCACCCTGACCCTGTCCCAGGGCTCAGCCCCACATAAGGATGCCAGCCCTGGCCTCAACCTCCATCCCAGCCTCAGCTTCTGGTCCCAGTCCCCTAACCTACAGTCTGACTCTGAACTCCAGACCTGGACCCCCCTGACCCTTAGATCTCTACCCAAACCACTTGACCCAACAGACCCTCACCTTGGTCTGGGCCCACAACCTGGCCTGCACCTGGCCAGGCCAGCCCAGCACAGCCCTCCAAACCTACAAAGAACCCTAGACCCTGCATCCAGACCCTATCAGCCTGGCCCTCCAATCCACAGGCTGACCTTAGACCCCAGACCCAGGCCTCAGAGCCGCACCTGGCCATGACCCTCTAACCCAGCCCAACCTGCAAACAATCCTGACCCTCATACTGCCCAGCACCCTCTAGTCTAAACCCTCACTCCAACTGAAGGCCAACCCTGACCCTTACCCTGACCCGGACCTGCACCTCCACCCTCCCTCACGCTCGTTCTAACCAGCACCGAGGGCTTGACCCTCACTAACCCCACCTTCGTCTTGATCTGCACCCGGGAACTAATCTTCACTTAGGCCTGAACCCTGGCTGGCACCCTACCCCGACCGTCGCACTACTGGGTCTCTCACCCCGACACTCACTTCGACCCACACCCAACCCTAACCTTCACCCCGATCCTCACCCCGTCCCACACCTACCCTGACCCTTAACCGGTCCGGCACCCTACCCCTACCCTCACCGCATCTCGCCTGGAAACCTGACCTGACCTGCACCCAGCCCGCGCCCACCTCGGTGATGATGTCGTGCAGGTAGCGGAACGGCGGCTTGTTCAGCAGCTTCTCGGTGAGCGGCGGCCTCCGGATCACCTTGCCCAGGGCCTCCTGCGTCCGCCGCACCACTGCGGCGTTCATGGCGCTGGCGCCCGCGACCGCCCGCACCCCTCCTCGCGCGCCGCGCCTCCGCCCGGTGCCCCGAGATGCCCGCCGTCCCGGCGCGCCGGTCTCCCATCCCACAGTGCACCGCAGCTCGCCACCGCGCCTGCGCGCACCACCCGCGCCCGGTCTCTAGGGCCGCGCGGCCTTGGCAACGGACGCGCGCCCGGCCCGACTCAGCCCCTCCTGCCTCTCTAGCTGCGCTGGAGGATGCGCGCGCTCCGCCTCGGTGGCTGCTTGAACCTGAGCCTGCTCCGCCCGCCCCACGCACCCCAGGGCGCTGCGCGGAGCTGCCCGGAGACCCGGCCATTCTGTGTGAGAAAGGAGCTATCGTTTCTAAAGAAAGCGTACGAAGAGACATGTTTAAAGTAACACCCACCAGGAAAATAACTCTTCACATTAACTTGGAGATGGACTTGGCTCCTTTCATACCTGTTCCCTGCTCAGCACCCTCTGCCTTGGGTAATCTTGAAAATTTTGCCAAAGGGAGAGACGTGGGGAGACCGTGTCCGCCGTTCACCAGGGCTGGCCCAAAGCTGTAAAGTGGCTAGGCCCTTAGATGAAGATGCTGCAGCCTTCCACCCCTGGGCCATGTGGGAGAGAAGCCTGTTGTTCTCACTGGTTGTGAGGATCAGGTGCTGCTGCTGTACCTGAGATCTGGAACTCCTTCCAAACTGAAGGAACCCCAGCTAGGGTTCTGCCTACCATGGCCCTCTCATTTCTGAGCCCCAGCTGGTGTTTGGCCTCTGCATGGTGGAATTCAGAGAGTAGAGGTCCTATCTCTAAACACTGTCCCAGAGATCAGACCCACATAGCTCCTACCCTGGAAAGTTCACTCTGGGCAGAATCCTGCTGTGAGTATATGCTGGAAGTTATGGCCAGCAACTAGCTTGTCTGTGATACTGGACTGGGTGGTGGGAACATAGGTGTGACCTTGGGCGTTTACTGAGGACCTGGGACCTAGGCCATACAAAAGGAAGGTGATTCCTAATACTCTCACAGCCTGTAGAGAGCAGGACAGTAAATGGACCCAAGAGGCCCTGTGGAAGCTTAGAGTCCAGCGTTCTGCTGCTCTTTGGGAGTGCTAGTCACCAGGGAGCCTCCAGCCCACATGTGTATCAGAGTCTCTGAGAGGATCCAGGACAGGAAGTATAGTCAGCCAGCCCCTGTGAGAACTGACCTAGAGGGGGCAACCACATGGCAGCCTTTGAAGAGTATAGTTCTGTCTTCTATAACATCAACTCTGCCGCCGGTCCAGCCCACCCCTCCATACTAAAAAGAGGGTACAGCATTCTGGTCACAGAGAAAGAAGGTCCCAGAAGATGTGACCACCTACTGCTGGAACCAGGGTCTCCCAGGGAAAGGATGCAGAGGCTGGTCTGGAGCCAGCAGTCTTGAGGGGTCAGCAGAGTAGGGCCACTAGCCTAGATCACCCCACCCCCACCCCAAAGCTAAGACAGAGAACAGTAAAGAGTCATTCATGGAAAAGGTAACTGCTTAAGTATGGAAAAAGAACAGCAAAGAAGGCTTTTCTAGCACAAAAGACTGGCAGGGGAGGCTTTGAAAACGAGCAGTTTCTGAGCGAATGAATGAATGAGATAACGGTGGCTGTGACTCACCCCTGGAAACAGAAGCCACAAAGCACAGTGGCTTCCAGGCCCTACCTCCCCCAGCTGGGAGACAAAGACCTGAAGGTGCTGAGCTTCCCATGGGCCAATGGCCCAGGATGTGGGTCAGGCCTGGGGAAGGGCCTGGATTTGGGTACCAGGGTAGAGAGCAGCCATCGTGCAGAGAGCAGACAAGCCTCACCCGTGGATACAAGACCAGTATGTCTACTCCATTTGAATTTCAGATATAACAGTATTTACCATAAATTCATGGCCCACAGTTCATCTCATTCTTTTACTTGAGATTCACAACTGGATAGCCTGCAGTTTTTGTTCTCTAAGCCTGAAGCAAACAAAGTGTGTCCCTGCAGCAGAGCTCACAGCAGAAGCAGGCATCCCCCACAGGTGGGAATCCTCTCCTGGCATTTCTGTTTCCACTTCCCCAGCCAGGAGGGCAAAGCCAGGTGCCCCCACTAACATCCAGCCTGGAATGTTGACACCTCCATGGCTGGGCAGCCTGGTGGAAGCTGGGGGAGGCACAGCGAGAGGGAGCGGGCTGCATCACAAAGTGCTGCCTGGAGGGTCGCAGGACCTTGGCAAGGCTGGGGTCTGGGTCCCATCACCCGCAAAGGCCTCTGAGCCACTCATACCAGTTCTCCAACATCTTGAAGCACTGCTGACCACTGCTTCTCTTCAGTGAGGGGAAAACTCTCCTTTGTGGGCACAGAGTCGGGGTCAAGAGCCCCACTAGGGAAGTGAATCTAGGCATGAGGGGAGGAGCCAGGTAAGGGCCAGCTGAGCAGTAGAGCCTAGCATGTGTGAGGCTGTAGGTTCCATGACCAGCACTGCAAAGCAAGAGGAACAGGAGGGCTTTTCAGGTGACTCAGGGAGCCCAACTTCCACCATCCACATTCCTCTCAAAGCAAGTTATATTTTATATATTTGCTTTATTTTTACTGTGTCATTTATGATTTTATATTTCTTTGCTTTTCTGGGGTATATTTCACAAATAAAAGTCATGTAGCTTTGTATCATACAGTATGACACTTTGATATTTGTATATATGGTAAAACGTTTAAGTTTAGATAATTAACATGTTATTGCTTTCCATACGTGTCATTTTTATGATGAAACTGTTTAAGATCTAGTCTCCGTGCAATAATTTAGTATGCAATGGGTTGGTATGATCCATAGCCACTATACTATAAAATAAACAGGAGGTCTCTTTTCACCCTGTGCAGTTGAAAGTCAGACTCCTCCTACAGCTTCTACCTTTGACTCTCTGATTCTGTGAGTTCAGTTTTAAATCCCACATTTAAGTGAGATCATGTGGCATTTGTCCTCTGTGCCTGACTTATTTCACTTAACATAATGTCCTCTAGGTTCCTACTCATTGTTGATTTCCTTGTTTTATGGCAGAATATTCCTCTGTGAATATCATATGTTGTTTATCCATTCATCTATCAATAGCTACTTAGATTGATTACTATCCTGGTTAGCTTTCATTGTAAACTTGATGCAAGCTAAAATAATTAGAAAGGGGATCTCAGTTGAGGAATTCCCTAGATTAAATTGGCCTGTGGGTCTGCGTGGAATTCTCTTGATGGTTGACTGATATAGGACAGACCAACCCACTGTAGGCAGAACCATCCTAGGCTGTATAAGAAAGCTAGCTGAGGGCTGGAGAGATGGCTCAGAGGTTAAGAGCACTGGCTGCTCTTCCAGAGGTCCTGAGTTCAATTCCCAGCAACCACACAGTGACTCACAACCATCTGTAATGCGACCTGGTGCTCTCTTCTGTTCTGGGCAGAACACTGTATACATAATAAATAAATAATTTTTAAAAAAGGAAAGAAAGCTAGCTGAGCCAGCTGTGGTAGGGCATCCTTTGATGTCAGTACTTGGGAAGCAGAAGCAGAAGGGTTCCGGTGAGTCCAAGGCCATCCTGGTTATATAGTGAACTCCAGGACTACTGCATAGAGAGACCCTGTCACAAAATAAACAGCAACAGAAAGAGAAATAAATGGCTGAGCATGAGCCTGCCTGTCTGCCAGCTTTCCTTGGCTTTGACTTTCCTGCTCAGAAATAATATTTATAGAATAGCAGTCAGGCCTGCCTTCAGGCTCCTGCCTTGACTTCCCTCAGTGATGGACTATGATCCAGAATCACGAGCCAAATAAAACCTTCCTGTCCCAAAGTTGCATATGAAATGAAACTAAGACAATTATGTGTTTTAATTCATTATTTATTTATGCATCTCTGTGTGTGTTTGAGACATGTGTATATAAGTGCCTACAGAGACCAGGAGACATTGTTAGTTTCCCTGGAGCTGGAATACAGGTGATGTGGGCCACTTGATATGAATCCTGAGAACCAAACTTGGGCCCTCTAGAAGAGCAGTAAGTACTCGTAATCACTGAGCAATTGCTGCAGCCCATACATTTTTTTTTTGTTTGTTTAGTTTGGTCTGGTTTGGTTTGGCTTTGGTTTTTGTTAGACAGGCTCTCATGTTCTTCTGGCTGTCCTCAAAATCACTATGCAACTGAAAATAACCTTGAACTCCTGATCTTCTGCCTCCACCTCCCAAGCACTGCGTTACAGGGCTGCACCTCCACTCCTGGTGTTTCTGTGTACCAGGGATCTGGCTTTGTGCTTACTAGGTAAGCCAACCAAGCTGAATCCCCAGCCCTGATTCCAAATCTTGAACAATGCTGCAATGAACTTGGGGATGCAGATAGTCCTATAAGACACAGATCTCCCTTTCTCTGGATGTATACCTGGAATGGGATAGCTAGGTCAGACGGTAGTTCTCTTTCCAGCTTTTCAAGCGCATACTGCCTTCCACAGTGGCTGTACTGTTTCACATTCCCACCATGAGCTCCCTCTTTCCAGTCCTCAGCAGCACCCAGGAGAGTTTGTTAGTCATCCCCCTTTTAAAAAGATTATTTATTTTTATTTTATGTATATGAGTGTTTGCCTGCATGTATGTCTGAACCATGTGGGTGCAGTACAATGGAAGTCTGAAGAGGGCTCGGAGTCCCCTGAAACTGGAGTTATGGGCCACCATGTGGGAGCTGGAAATGAAACCTGGGTCCTCTGGAAGAGCAGCCAGTGCTTTTTAACCTCTGACCCCTCTTTCCAGCTTCTCATCATCCCTTTTCGGTGATATAATCCTCAGTTGCTTTCTGTCATAACCAAATAGTTGCCTTATAGGATGAACTGTGTCCTTCTAAAATCCCGTGCTCAAATCTCCAGTAACTTGGCCAGTGACTTAGTTTGGAGACAGGCACTTTAAAGAGTTGATTATAATTAAATGGCCACTAGAGTGGACCTGAATCCAAATCCAACATGACTGGTGTCCTCTTAAGAGATTAGGACACAGACAGACAGACAGAGGATCATGTAAGGTCACAATGATAAGATAGACTAGACATATGCAAGCCAAGAAGATCCTGGGAACAATACCAACCCCAT